AGCTGGTGAGATGTTGATCTTCCAGTCCGAAAGCCGCACTGCTGGTTTGGGATGATGTTGTTATCCTCAAGATGATCGTTGATTCTATTCAGTAATACTCTCTCCAGTATTTTGCTTATTGAGCTGAGTAGACTTATTGGCCTGTAGCTGCTTAGCTCATTTGCTGGTTTTCCAGGTTTTGGAATAGGAATCACTTTTGCATGTTTCCAAACTTTGGGGAAGTGGTTGAGTTTCAGACACGAATTGATGATGAATTTCAAGTATTCGAAACCTTTTTCAGGAAGATTTTTGATGAGTATGTTGTTGACTTCATCTAGTCCCGGAGCTTTTGGATTTTTCAGATTTCTTATGATGCTCACGATTTCGTTTACATCTGTTAGTTCTGGATTCTCATCATTGTCTTGTTCCAATGCTTCTTTGACTGTGTTGTTTACTTCCTGTGTATGTTGTGGATCGTTTTGTTCCAGAGGATTTTCGTGAGCTTCACGAAAATACTCACTGAGTGCGCTGGCTTTTTCTTTGTTGGTAATGAACGTTTTACCCAGATTTGTCAATGGAGGCATTGTTTTTGAACCTTTTTTGCAAAATTTTGCTATTCTCCAAACTGTTTGGTTTGACGGTTGAATCTCTGAGAGACGCTTATTCCAGTTTTTGTTTTTGAGTTCTTTAATTTTCTCATTGATGACTCTCTGCAGATAATTCAATTCAGATTTGAGTTGATTATCTCTGCTTCTCTGCCATCTTCGACGAAGACTCCTTTTTGTATTGATTAGATCTTTAATCTCCGGTGTGAGTTTAGTTGATTCGAACTTGATCTTTTTCATTTTTACACTTGAGTTCCTCGCTTCCATGATGAGTTCAGAGAGAATCTTAATGTGATTCTCGATCTCATCTGTTGTATTGCAAGAATTTTCTCCAATGTTGTCTTCAATGCGGCGTGAAATTTGTGCTTTGAACTTTTTCCAGTTTGCGTTTTTGTAGTCATATCTGTAGACTGTATTTTCAGTTCTGTCGATTTTTGATGTTTTGATTTGGAAATACACAGCGCAGTGATCACTCATTGCCTCTGTGCATTGAAGTTCTGTTGTTTCGAGGTTGGAATTCGAGAGCATCAGGTCAATTGTTGACACTGATTTGTTTCGATCTTCTGGGTAGTACGTTGGCGAGTCAGGAAAGTAGATCATGAACTCTCCTGACATTTCCTGAAGAATATTTCCTGATTTATTTGCAACGTTGCAGTTCCATTCTCGATGTTTTGCATTGAAGTCTCCACAGATGTAGTAATTTCCTCTCAGATTTGTTATTTTGTTGATGTCATCTCTCAGATGTAGATCTATTTCCCCTCCTTTGCTTCCTCCTGGGAGATAGACTGAGAGGATGTGACAACTATCCGTGTCATTGATGAAGACTTTGATTCCAATGCATTCCATTAGTTTTGTGTTGTAGCTTGGTTGAAGCTGATGTTTTAGATTTCTTTTGACGATGATTGCAACACCACCCTTTGGTCTATCCACGCGATCCAATCGATGAATTACGTAGTCTGGATGCGAGTCAATTTTTGAGTTTGGTTTTAGGAATGTTTCTGAGATGCAAGCAACATCGACGTTTTGCTTGCTTAGGTAGTCGAGAAATGCTAACATTTTGTCAGTGAGGCCGTTAGCATTCCAGTAGAGGACGTTGATACTTTGTTGTCTACAATCCATTATTGTATGCGGTGTTTTTGGCACTTGAGCCGATTGCTTGGAGTATTTCGTCGATGAACTCTGGATTTTTGGCGATTAATTTGAGAAGCTCGCTGATAAGGTACTTGCACTTTGATTCCTCTATTTCTGAGATGTTTTTATCTCTTGTGCTGGTGCTTTGAGCTTGTTGATTAGTTGTTATGTTTCGATTCACTACCTCAACACTGAATGAAGGTTCTGGGAAGACTTCATTCGAGGTCTGACTTGTTGCACTGATGTCTTCTGAGTCCATAAGCTCAACATCTTGCTTTGGTTTTTGATGTTGCTTGTTATTAATGCGCTCGTTTTGCTTTTTTCTTTGATTCTTTTTCCAATGTTTTCCTCTTTCTTTATTGTTTTGTTGGTTGTTCAAGTTATTTTTATTTCCCTGATTTGAGGGTTTGTGATTTGGAGGAGGATTTGTGTTCCTTGGTTTGTGGTTGACTGGAACTTGTTTTTGATGAACAGGCTTTTGTGTACCAGATGTTGATGGTTCCATATACTCCTTTCTCCATTGAGGTTTTGGTGCATGTTGGACGTTTCTGGTTGATCTCTCAGGACGATGCGGTGTTGGAGGATTGTTTCTCCGTTGTCCATATGAATAATGGCCTGCTGTTTTGTTTTGATTTTGGTTGTTTCCATTCTGTGATTTTGATTTCCATTTTTCAATTATTTCTTGTCTGGTTTTACAACCTGTGAAAATTGCTGTATGTTTTTCACCGCAGAAGAAACATTTGAGTTTTCCGAGTGGAACCTTGTTGGTCTCTTTCGATATGTACTGGCACGTTTTCGAGTCATGTTGCTCAGAGCATCTGAAGCAAACGGACGGTTTGTTACAACCGTTTTGTCCATGACCAAACTGCAGACATTTCGAACATTGAGATGGTCCAGCTTGTCTTTTTTTGTAGTCAGCCCATTTAATTTTGAAACTGCTGACAATTTTGATTTTTCTGAGGAATTCCAGGAAATTTCCACCTTGTTCTACATCTTTTTTGAAGTACACGAGGTAGTTCTGGTCGTCGTCTTGTTCGTGTCTTTTGTGTTTCATTGTCATTTTGACAATTTTTACTGGTGTGATTTTTACGGTTTGAAGTTCCTTCTCCAACTCACTGATTTCCATATCTGGGAGTCCATAGAGTACGTACTTCTTCAGTGGTTCTTGGCTGGAGTATGTGTGGAAGTGATGCTTTTTGTCTTTGAGTAGTTGGATGAATTTCTCGTAGTAATCCCAACTCTCCGTTGTTACCGTTTTTGTTCCTTGTTTGCCCTTTTTGGTCTCAATTAAGAAACTTCCAGGTTGATTGTTTATTTCATTCGTCAATCTCTTGATTTCACCAGCTCCTCCTGTGCTGATGACAATTGGAGGTGGTTTTGATTTTTGTTGAGATTTGTTGTTGTTGCTTTCCGTGTTTACGGAAATTGTCTTTTGTTGCTCTGATGTTTTGCTGTTTTCTCCCCAGTACGAAGAAGTTGTCGATCTTTTTTTCTCCTGTTCTGGTGAACCAAATAGATACGGTACTCCAGAAGACGAAGCTTTCTTCATTAGTGGGAGTACGAACAGTGGTTTGTTCCCATCTTTTGGTTTGCTTTCGTTTGCTACTCTTTTTAAAAGAGCGTTGGGAACTATCACTTCTCGAGGGCGTTTTTCTGCTTTACTTGCTTCATTGAGAAACTTCTTTATTGATATTTGTTTTTTTGGTTTGAGATTTGTCATCTCAATGTCGGCTGCTTGTGAAACATCTTCACTGAAAATTTCCTCAATATTGAGAATTGTCACTGAAGATGAATGTTGTTGTTGAGAACTATTAAGTCCATGCTGATTTTGAGAAAGATTTTCTTCGTTGTTGGTAGTTTTTGGTGATGCTACCATTTTGATGTTTTGAGAATCAAACTGAGATTTTGAAACTTTTTGCAAACAAAAAGCTTCTCAGGTAGTCTCTGTTTTGTTTCTTTTGAGATTTTTGAATAATTTGCGGAGCGATTTGTAAACACGTCTGTTCACGTTGAGATCTAGTTTGCTAATCTGTATTTGTATAGCTCACAGAACTGCACACCATCCTCGTCTACAGTTGTGTATGAAAATTTTATGTAGCTCGTCTCTCACTTTGACGTCATCAAGAATATACTTGAGAATATCTATATAAAAAAAAATGAGAGAGAGAAGGAGAGTGAGAGAGGAAAGAGAAGTACAAGGGAACGGAAATGGAATGTATGTCAACTGAACTTGATGATGATTACAAAACATATTTCTGTTTCGGAGATAAAAGAAAAATTCTTTCGATTTTTTTTTGTATGATTTTAAAACATGAGTCCATGCTATAAATAACGATGACGTCATTCATGTGCTAATTTCGACAGGATCAGGATAGTATGGATGTATACAACTGACGAATGCGCATTTTATCAGCCAGACTGTCGAACAGACGTGGGACTGAGGATGGTTCACTCGAAAGTTTCTAGATGCCATGAGTAAGTTCGGCTTCGTTGGACAATCTGACAATCTACAATCCATAGCCCCATTTTCCCATTAAGCTATAAATCTGAGCACAAAAGAGAGCGAGAAAAATTGAGAAAATTTTTTCCAATAAGAACGAAAATCGATTTGCATTTTTTTTCCTCCTCCGTTCCGAAGGTTGTGCAACTAATTATTAATCATCGATTTGTGTCTCTCGGAATGAAAAATTTATAAATAAAGAAGTGAAGGAGAAGCAGCAGAAAAACATATTGAGGAAGGAAAGAGGTCAAAATGTGCAAAAACCGCGTGGAATGAGTGACATAAAAAAAATTCCAATTTACATTCTTTATTGCTTCTTTTTGTTGCAGTTTGTGACTGTATGAGCTGACATTAGATTGATGGTGTAGGTGCTTGGGTATGATTATGTATTTGATCGGAGGTTGGATCTTGTAATAACTAGTCTGGATGCTATTATGTGCTCCTTTCTAGGATCCGACTCTTTTGTCAGATTCCCGAGTTCTTAATAGACGTTATCCCTGACTACAAACCCCATTTTTGTCCACATCAAATTCATGTCAATATAAAATAATTTTTTTTAATTGACACAATTAAATTAAAATGTTATCAAATTAGCAAAATAACAGTAAACGCAGTAATAAAGATACATGAGGAATCAGGGGACTCACTGACTGCAAAATACTTCAAAATACGTTTTACAATCCAAATATTAATGATAAGATAGAAATTGTCAGTTTTGAATAAAAGTCTCACAACCAGTATCTAATCTAACCTTCTTCAAGAACAATTGTAAAAAGGTTCAACAGCTACAGATATCATTAAGCACTTCATGAATATAAAAACCTCAATCATTTCGCAATTACCACGTCAAATTAGTTCAATCATTCATTTATTCAACATGTGCCTAAGTTGTTGTATTTGCATTTCAAAAATTTGTGAAAATCAAGACACAGTTTCACTTCCGTGTGGTCACTTGTTCCATAAAAAATGTGCAATGGACTGGTATCAAGGTGGATTGCATAACAAATGTGCTTATTGCCGTCGTAGTTTTGATTCTAAGGATATAAGGGAACACTCTTTAACTATTGTTGACTGCACAATGACGAGAAAATATAGGGAAAGGATTAATAAGCTAAAGATGGAGGATCAGTCAAAGTCTAGCCAAACTCAACAAATTCGATTGAATGAGCAGTTGAAGCAGGAGAACTTTCATATACATAGATCTTTTCATGATTCTCAGGATGTGAGTAGATAAAAAGTTAAGAATCCAGAGTGGTGTTGGGAGCGGACTAGGGACTGCTCAGTGCTCAAATGATTTTTCTTTATCATAACCGAAAGGCACACAGCATGAAAATAGCTGTAAATCTGTCGTCCAGAACGACATGAATGCAGCATTAAGTTCGATTTCACTAAGTTCATGTCGTTCTGGATGACAGATTGACAACCATTTTCATTCCATGTACCTTTCGGGATAGCAATGGTGTTTCTACTAAGTACCTAGTTTGAATTAATTTTGTAGCAGTGTATAACCATTAGCCTCAGAGACTAGATTTTTGCTTGGAAGTCATCCAGGCAGTGCTCTAGATCAGTGTTGTCCAAACTTTTTTGAGCTACGGCACACCTTTACGAAAGTCACACACAGCATGCGGCTCACGTCATTTAAAAAACATTTCTATGGTTCACCAGTGTGCCGAGGTACACAGTTTGGACAACACTGATCTAGATGATCCTTTGGATTCATATTGACCAATTTCTTAATTGTTCCAAGATAACTTGTACTCAATTAAGATTTTATTCTCAAAAACTCACGAAACTATCAATTTTCTTTGCCAGCTGAACTTTGGACTGCTGGTCCTAGCAAGTGAGATCTTAGAGTTTACAGTTGATGAGCTGAAAAGCATGGATACATACTCTGAAACCCATGATGAAATCTTTAAATCATTTTGGAGCCAACTTACTCAGTATATTGACACTTATAATCAATTGTAAGCAACATTTTGATCATATTGTGAAAAACATCTAATTTATGCCTTCTTTACAGTCGATAAGATGATCCAGGCAGGTCCAATCATTGTTTTGTTTGAACAAACTTTAGATCTACCTCAGCTCAAGTGCATCCAAACTGTACACATTGACATTCCCACACACACAATCATACATTGCATGTCCAACACAATTCTCACCAATACAATCAAACAAGTAAAATTTTTCACACAACCACAACTTTATTTTCATTTTGAAAAAAATTCAATTTTTCTTATTTCAATAAAAATCGTAAATAAAAAGGATTTTCAACTTACAATTTTATTCGATTGGTGTAGATTGATAATCCAACAAGATGAGTCGGTGGGGCAGGAGAGCTGTTGTTGCTGATTTTGAATGAAATTTGCACACAAAAAATTCACTTTAAGTTTTTTTTTTATTCTTTCAGACGATTAAAATCCACTGTCTTGCCACTTTTATCAACAAAATAACAGAGTTGCACAGTTAAATATGTAAAAATAAATTCGATATTTAAAAAATTGTCAGCCCGATTGGGTGAAAGAACCTGTCAACTTTTACGAGGTCTCAATTTTGTTCAGCCCACTAGGGTGCAGTAACCTCTCAGCCTGTTTCACAAAGGTCTGTCCACACACAAAAAAATCCTCAAATGAACTTCACTATCGATCGCACTTTTTTCCATCCACATAGAAAATTTTTTTCTTTCCGATTTTTTTGCAATTTTATAAGAAAAAAAAACAAAAATTTTTTTTTTCACTTTACACAGCAAAAAAATGTTAAAATTTGTCAAATTCCACAAAAGTTAAAAGAAATTTGATATCTATAATTGTGAATAATATAAGCAAGGGGAACTAGATGTAGATATATAGATATATATATATTTTGTATGTGTGTTATTATTATGTGACCTTTTTCCGGCTTACAAACTACTCGCATACGCACACGATGCGTTCACATCATTCATTGATGGCGGAAAGATCACTAAGATGGTGAAATTATTCACTTTAAATCTCTTTTAATGCATTAAATTTGACTATTTTTGCACTTTTTTATTTCTTTTCGTGTGGCAGCGACAGGGAAAAAATTTTCAGTAGAAAACGTTCAGTGAAGCACTTTTTAACATTCCCAGGAGCTGTTGCCATTTGGACTGGTGGAATTTGAATTTTTGCGCACTTGTTGAGGATGACTCGGTTACTGATGGAATTTATTTGTAGATTTTAAGTTTTTCATAAGATTTTTGGATGGTCAGTGGGGTACTCTGAGGGGTATAAGTCATTATGACCTTAAACTGCGAGGTTCTTGAGCTGACATGGAAATTTTGCTTTAAAATTATCAAAATAAAATAACACAAAAGAATTTTCATATTTTGCAATCCATAAAGATGCCGCTGGTATGAAATAATTTGAAATTTGGAAATCCGTTATTTTTAACAATCAAATTTGTTGATTTATTTTGAAAGTTTTTACTTTTATCTGAATTTTTTTCACTAGCTAAGTGAACCTATAAGTTTATTCGTTATTGATGGTAGGCACAGATCACTTATCCCAACTCCCATCCCTGAAGCAAGTCATCAACACCCCAAAATTATCGAAAACAAGACTTAATCCATAAACATCTTTTAATACCACAAAATCTATAAAAAACCACTCTAATTAAAATAACGGTCAAAAAATATTCAAAATTGTTCAAATTACAGAGGTAGCGAAATTCGAACAGGTTAAACTGTCATAAACTTTTGTTATTGTTTACAAATTTTAATTGCGAAATTTTTGAGTAAAGTTTAGTGATTTTAATCATTAAAAGCGGTAAATAAAGAGGTTAGTGACATTTGAGTGCTGAAAGCAAGCAGCTGTGATACTAATTTAGTAAGAATAGTGAAAATTGGATAAAAATAAATAAATTAAATTGTGAAAATCAAAAAATAATAAAAATTTTGTCGAATTAAGATTCAAAAATACTTTTATCTTGTCCACAGACCAATATTGTAGCGAACTAATCATCAAGGAATCAAGATGGGTGAACGCAAAGGTAAGAAACTGAATAAAACTGCGAATAAACAAAAATTACGAACTTAAATATCCAGAATCGATCAATTATGAATTTTATGACAGATATTGAAGAATCTGCAGTGTTCCATTGCTTTATAAAGCCTCATTTGTGTTTATTTAAGTGAATAAGTTGATCCAGTGAAACAAATTTAATGGATATTACCTAAACATTTATTTGTTTTTCGAAAATTTATTTTTCATGGTTTTCAAATCTATTTAAACTTCAAGTTTGCTTTCCAAAGCTTTTTAATGAAGTATAGACTGTGCTTGTTTCCTTAGAATTTCAATTACATCTACTTCCATTGACTGTTCATTTTTATGCCATTCAGCAATGAGTTTCAATATTAACAGCTCCTTAACTTCAATTTTCACTATCCTACATTCAGGTCAGAACAAGTACTACCCGCCAGACTTCTTCAGCAACAAGAAGACGATGGAGAAGGGACTTGACGCTTATCATGGACATCATCAACTTCGTGAGCGTGGCAAGAAGGCTCATTTAGGAATTTTAGTCATTCGTTTTGAGATGCCATATAATATTTGGTGTGAAGGTTGCAAGAACCATATTGGAATGGGAGTTCGGTACAATGCTGAGAAGCAGAAGGTCGGCAATTACTACTCTACGCCTGTTTATGAATTTAAGATGAAGTGTCATTTGTAAGTATTGAATTATTTAAATTTGAGATAATTATTTTGGGTACAGAACCACCTAATGCTCCTTAATATCCTTATCGTGCCACTCAGATGCAACAACTACATTGTCATCAAGACAGACCCAGCTAATCTCGACTACACAATCATGTCTGGTGCTCGACGACAAGAGAATCGATGGGATCCAACACAGAATGAGCAAATCGTACCTGAAACAAAAGAAACTCAACGCCGACTTTTTGACGATGCTATGTACAAGCTTGAACATGGTCTTAAGGACCAAAAGACTTCAGAAGATGCCAAACCTCAAATTTGTCGACTGTTCCAAAGGAACGATGATGTCTGGAAAGACAATTTTGAGGCTAATTTGAAGCTTCGAGCAACATTCAGGAAGTCAAAGAAGGAAGCTAAGGCAGTTGAAGATGCTGACAATAAAATTTTGTCACGCACGAGTCTGGTTGGGTTGAGTTTGCTGCCTGAGACTGATGAAGACCGACAATTGGCTAGCTTATTGAAGCTGCACAGCACAAAGAGCATTCAAGACAAGTCACGGGAGAAGTTCAAGGAGATCATGGAGAAGTCAGTCCTGCCAAGTTCCACAATTGTGACTAGCTTTTGTGGTATGAAGAAGGAGAAGCTTTTGAGTCAGAAACCTGCAAATTTAGGAATTGTGAAGAAGAAGGAAGTGGATCAAGAGCCTGTTGAGAAGAAAAAGAAGGTTGAGGCTGTCACATCACTTGTTGCTGCTTATAGTTCAAGTTCGGATGAAGATGAATAAAATTTTGAATTTTTCTTGTTTATTAATTTTTGTAGTTTTTTTAAATATTCGCATTTTTCAGGTTTTTATCTAAAAATATCTCGTCACTAATAGCACTCGATTAAAGCTATAAAATTAAAATACAATCATACAATTAAATTCATTCATAAAATTACACTTAACTAATTTGATCGAATTTTTAATTATATGCTGCATAATCATCAGAACTTTGAGTCTCAACGACAGCCTGCACGAACAAAGGAAATAAATTTGCAATTTAAAAAGTAATTTTATATCTAAATTAACATTTTATTCACCAATTTTCATCTCTTTTTGATGCTAATCATGTATCTGTTCAATATAGTCAGCACAACTGACATTTCTATCTTCAAGTTCTCATATTTTAGCGTTGTGTCAATTTTGTATGCTCGGAAGAAGTTGATTAGGAAAGTCTTTATCACAATCATCGCATATCGATGACCTGAAATGTTTTTTTAAAATAAATTAAATTATACAAGTTCAAGTTGCACTTAAAAACCTTACAAAACTAGTTAAAAACTTCTCACAATTAATTTTTAATAATCACAAATAACTAAGTTACTTTTTAACAGTTACAGAGCAATTATTGACGTGGAGTGCAATTATCATCTGAACATTCTGCTTTTCACAGCACAAACTGACTCAAAAACTTGCAATTTTTAAGATTCTACTCACCAATGCACATCCGTTTCCCTCCTGAAACATCATAAAAATCAGTTAAAAATCCACAAAAGAAATAAATCCTCACCAGTGAATGGCAAATAAGCTTGTGGATTCTCCAAATTCTCAAACCTCTCTGGTCTGTACAAATGAGCATCATCTCCCCAATATTTTGGATCCCTCTGCATTGCAAATATTGACATGACCATGATGGTCTTTTTTGGAATTTTATAGCCACAAATGTCAATTTCATCGCTCGTTTCTCTTGCAACAATTGGACCAGCTGGAAATAATCGAATTGTTTCCTTAACAATCAAATCCAAGTATGTGAATCTCTGTAGGAAGTCATTGTCAAATGTCAGTTCTTTTTCAGTTCCACAAATTGAATCAATTTCATTGATAAGCTTCTGTTGGATTTCTTGATGCATAGCAAGCATAAGGAGGCCTGATGAGATGGATTTTGCTGTTGAGTCGAAGGACTGAAAAATAGATTTTTGAGGTTAGAATTTCAGTTTTTGTCGAATCTTAGTTTTGAGGCTAGAATCTGAGTTTTGAGGTTAGAATCAGTCTTACAGTCAACGCAAAAATCACCAATTCGTCCAAGATTTCTTGATCACTAAACTCATTATCAGGATCAAGAAGTAAGTCAATGACTCTATCATCTTTAATTGATCCATTTGATTCCATATGAAGCTTCTTGTTATGATTCACAATACGGTCAAGATATTCTTTAGCAACATCCATCATTTCATCAAGTTCAGTTGATAATTTTGATCTTCGGAAGATGAACTCAGTATTAAGCCACGGCTGTTGAATCCTCTTCATTCCAATGGCGAATCCTCTATAAAAATTATCAAAAATGGTCAATCAGTTCCGAACCTTTGATTCCGACTTATCACTCACGCATCAACATATGGCAGGATCTTATGTCCATAAAGGTCTTCATGATAATTTAAATTGACGAGTCCAAATGATTCCAACGAACAAGCACCGATGTAATAATAGACATCAAAATCATCTTGATTCACTTTCGGTGCTAGTTTTTGGATACACACTTTTGAGGATTTATTCACAGTTCCATACAAATGCTGAAGTCTTCTTGGTATGAAGGCTTTATTGAATATTTTTCGGTGCTTTTCATGCAATTTGCCACTTAAAGGAAGCAATCCATTAGTAAATATCAATGATCCATAAAATATCGATGGTTTGTCATAGCATTGAGGGGAATTAAATACAGCATGCATTATTTCAGGTTGATTTGTGCCAACCATTAAATATGGACCTAACCAAACTCTAGTGATTGGTGTGTCATCCCTAATAAAACCCAGCACAATATCCAAATAGTCTTTTCGCTTTGCCAATGCTAATCTGGGTAAAATACCAAGCAGTGGAACTCCATTGTCACCAGGAAGCTTCGCAGCTAATTCATAAAGCCTTCGTCGATTCCAACGAAATTTGATCACGCAAAATATTAAAGTAGTAAATAAGAACATCAACAGTGACTGAAACACAAACATTTTTCATTTATTTTTCACTTCCACCTGTTGACTGTTCTCGTTCTGAAAATTGACTAAACAGGTAGCATGTAATTCTTACTGATATTTATAAGTGCAACTGGATATTGAGTAACTAATCCTCTTGTTAAGTGATCGATAAAAGTTCAGAAAGCTTCCAGTTTTCTCATTTCCAGTTGCAGGTTTCGTAGAATTAATATTGTTTAATTGCAAATTGGAAGCTGAGCTATAAAAGTAACAAAATTGGACAATTATTGATTGTGTGGTCTGCAAATCGTGTCTGAATGGATGTAAGGATGATCAATAATTTTTTTGGGGAGCCGTTGAGAGTCTGGAGTGGTCTAATAGAACCTTCTATGGTGTTATAAGGTTAGAGATGATTCAGTAATACCCAAAGTGGTTCAATTAAGTCTGATGTGATTCAGGAGGTTCTTAAGAGGAGCTGAATCTGGTTTCTTAAACATTTATTTCCAGAGGTCGAAGCCGACATGAGTTCGCTCCGGTTCGCTAAAAAACCGATTCGATAACCGGTAAATTTGTATAAAATGTTGTACTTCACAAGTGGCAGCAGAAAAAAATCTATTCAAATTTGAATCGGTTTTTTAGCGAACCGGAGAGAACTCATGTCGGCTTCGACCTCTGTTTATTGCAATTAAGCTTAGATGAGATTTATATTAAGCTTGTGTAAATGACCTACAAAGTAAACATTGAGACGCGAGTAAATATTTGCATAAATGAGATATGTCACGAGATCTGCACCTGTAACAGCATGTATTAAATATATAATTGAAAGAATTATTGATAAATTGAAATGTGTTAATTGAAATCGGCATAAATGAGGAATTTGATGTCAATAAAAGTGACTTTTAATTAGTTTAAGAATAGTTTTTGGAAATAACTTAAAATAAGTCCATTTTAAAGAAAAAGTACCCCCTTCCCCCCCCCCCACCCTTGTGTAGCCAAGGGCAGTTGGTGGTCAACAAAATTCATTATTAAAATGTTCTTATTCAATTTTCTGGAATATTTTGAATGAAAATCATAAATTCTATGACTTTATTACAACACACCTCCCCCTCTGCCCCCTCCCTCCATCATTACCACTCAAAATAATTTTTCCCATATAAATCACTCAATCAATATCCAAAAAGCAGAGATCGAAGCCGATTAAGTCGGCGGCTTAAACCAGCTAAGCCGAGCTTAAAAATCGACTTGCATAAGCTGATTTATAAGTCGGCTTAAAAATCCAGCTTATCTAAGCTATGAATATGTATTCATATTAAAAATTGCTATTTTAAATGATCGGCTAAGTCGAGGCTTAAAAAATGGCTTAGATAAGCTGAATTTTAAGCTCGGCTTAGAGATCGGCTTACATAAGCCGATTTGTAAGTCGGCTTAAAAATCCAGCTTAGATAAGCTGGATTTTTAAGCCGACTTATAAATCAGCTTATGCAAGTCGATTTTTAAGCTCGGCTTAGAGATCGACTTGCATAAGCTGATTTATAAGTCGGCTTAAAAATCCAGCTTATCTAAGCCAAATTTAAGCCGCCGCTGGCTTAAATACCGGCGGCTTCGATCTCTGCCAAAAAGCAATAAAAAATTCTAGTAGACATAAAAAAAGCTCGCATGAAGTCAGCTTAATTGACAATAAACGCAATCAAATGAGCGTTTTGTTAATTATTGCATCAATAATTGCAGGTTATGATTATTTTATTGATATTTTGTGTTAATTTTATTCACAGGAAATAACTCAAAAGCTTTGTATTGGGGCATGTGTGAGATGTGAAGCTATACTGGAAGCATCACGTATTGTAAAGCATAGCTTACTCCAACCATACTTTAGCTCACCACTGGAAATAAATTTTAACAAAATAAATTATTCTTAGGGGGATAACAACTATATGGGAATTTTTTTCCATCATTTTACAACTTTTTTAATCCATTTTCCCACTACTAATAATGAGAAATTTTCTCCCAAAAAATTTCCCCATCATATTGTTTTCCCCCCAACTTACCCTCTCAAACTAAGATTCTCAAATCACTTTCCAGGGCAACCAATGACGAAAGCTGGAAAATAATCATGACTCAATTACTCATGACCAGTGCAACTCCAGCACCTATAAATATCAGTGAAAATTACTTGAAATCTTGTTAGTCAATTTTCAGATCGAGAACAGTCAACAAGTGCAAGTGAAAAAATAAATAAATAAAAATGTTTGTGTTTCAGTCACTGTTGACGTTTTTACTCACGACTTTAGTGTTTTATGTGATCAAATTTCGATGGAGTCGACGAAGGCTTTATGAATTAGCTGCAAAGCTTCCTGGTGACAATGGAGTTCCGTTGCTTGGAATTTTACATAAATTAGCAATAGCAAAGCGGGAAGATTATATGGACATTGTGTTGAGTTATATTAGGAATGACACACCGATCACTAGAGTTTGGTTGGGTCCATTCTTAGTTGTAGCCACAAAAGCACCAGAAGTGATGCATGCTGTGTTTAATTCACCACAGTGTTATGACAAGCCATCCATATTTTATGGATCATTGTTCTTTACTGAAGGATTGATTCCTTTAAGTGGAAAGACTCACGAAAGACATCGCAAAATATTCAACAAAGCTTTTACGCCTAAGAGGCTACAGGAACTATATGGAATTATTAAGGATCGTGCAGAAGTTTGTGTGAAAAAGTTAGAACCAAGAGTGAATCAAGAAGAATTTGACGTCTATTATTATATCGGAGCTTGCTCACTTGAATCCTTTGGTGCAGCAAATTTGAACTTTCATGATGATCTTTATGGTCATGAGATGCTGCCATATGCTGATGCGTAAGTCAATTTACTTAAATTGTCATTTTTCGTAGCTTAAAGTCGTTTATCCACAGGGGATTCGCTATTGGAATGAAGAGGATTCAACAGCCGTGGCTTAACAATGAATTCATCTTCAGGAATTCAAAGATATCCAAAGAATTTGACTACATGATGGTCCTGGTACAAGAATATGTCAGCAAAGTTGTAAACTACAACAATCAGCTTACAATTGAGACAAATGGAGCTAACAAGGTCGACAAAGTCATTGACTTACTGTTAGATCCTAAACATGACTTTACAGATCAGGAAATTTTGGATGAAATGATTGTCTTTGCGTTGACTGTAAGGATTCAAACCTTTAAAATTTATATTCAACATTCTAACCTCAAAAAATCTATTTTTCAGTCCTTCGACTCAACAGCCAAAACCCTCTCATCAGGCCTTCTTATGCTTGCTATGCATCAAGACATCCAACAGAAGCTTATCAATGAAATTGATTCAATTTGTGGAACTGAAAAGGAACTGACATTTGACAATGACTTCCTACAAAGATTCACATACTTGGATTTGATTGTTAAGGAAACAATTCGATTATTTCCAGCAGGTCCAATTGTTGCGAGAGAAACGAGCGATGAAATTGACATTTGTGGCTATAAAATCCCAAAAAAGACCATCATGGTCATGTCAATATTTGCAATGCAGAGGGATCCAAAATATTGGGGAGATGATGCTCATTTGTACAGACCAGAAAGGTTTGAGAATTTGGAGAATCCACAGGCTTATTTGCCATTCACTGGTGAGGATTTATTTCTTTTGTTTGGAATTTTAACTGATTTTTGTGTGTTTCAGGAGGGAAACGGATGTGCATTGGTGAGTAGAATCTTAAAAATTGCAAGTTTTTAAGTCAGTTTGTGCTGTAAAAAGCAGAATGTTCAGATGATAATTGCACTACACTTCAATAATTGCTCTGTAACTGTTCAAAAGTGGCTTAGCTAATGATCAGTGTTAATTATTGTTTATCATTTGTGAGAGATTTTAAAACAATAATTTTAGGTTAAACAAGTTTCCGAGAAAATTTACATAAAAAAGTTCAAGTGCATGTGCTAATGACTTGCTAGGAAGTTGGAATTAGATAGTCTTGATTTATTTAAATTTTTTATTTGTTTGTTTGATTGATACTGAAATGGAGAAGTTAAGTTGGGGTTTAGCTAAGCTCTGATCCATTTATGAATCTATTGCTTAGTGCTACAGCTAGTTGGGAGGTTGAGAGAGGTCCCAGGAACTGGCTGATTTAAATTAATTGTACTTCAATCCACAGGCTACAGATACGCGATGATTGTCATGAAGACCTTCCTTATAAATTTCTTCAGAAATTACAAAATTGATACAACATTAAAATATGAGGACTTAAAGCTAGAAATGTCATTAGTCCTGACAATATTGAACAGATACATGATTAGTATTAAGAAGAGATGAGAAAATGTTGTAAGTAGCTGTAGATAGGTGAGTCGTTCCTTTATCATATCCAATTATCCTCCTTAATATCCACATTTACATCATCTTTAGGTCCCACATGACATTTCTACCTCAATGGTTGACAAGCTCCGACTCTTCGGAATTGAACGTCTAATTATAAAGAAATCAAAAAATTAAGTTAATTTAAGTGAAGCTTTTAGAATTTATTTAATTATATGCTTGATATGAAAAATTTGCCTGTTTAACTGTTAAAATCGTGAATTTTATCGATTCAAGTTTCTAAGTATTAATAAAAGATTATTGACGTAATCAAGAATTTCAATCAAAATTAATTTTAATGCGGAAGCTATTATAATTCTATGTGCTATGCTGTAGGTGCAACTAGATTAAGTAGAAATTATCATTTTACTTAATTAGAATTTAAAATTTTATGCACAATGTGAAAATTATTTTGATAAATAATTATAATTTATAACTGTTTGCAATACTTCTTCGAAGACACCTGAATGTCAGGTATCTAGTGTGAATGCATCTGAACTTTGAAAGCCTAGTGTGAAGCCATCTAAACCTTAGAAACATAGTTTAAAAGCACCTAAACCTCAGAGAACTAGTGTAAAGGCACCTGAAACTCAGACACTAAGTGTGAAAGCACCTGAATCTCAGAAGCCTAGTGTAAAGCCACCTGAATCCCAGAAGTCTATTGCAAAGCCACCTGACCCTAATAAACCTAGTGTAAAGTCACCTTAACTTCGGAGAAATAATGTAAAGGCACCTGAAACTCAGTCTCTAAGTGTGAAGGCATCTGAATCTCAGAGAAATAATGTAGAGGCACCTGAAACTCAGACACTAAGTGTAAAGGCACCTGAATCTCAGAGAAACGATGTAAAAGCACCTGAATCTCAGACACTAAGTGTGAAGGCATCTGAATCTCAGAAGCCTAGTGCAAAGCCACCTGAACCTAAGAAACCTAGTGTAAGGTCACCTAAACCTCGGAAGGGGGTCAACGAACCCAAAAAAATCCCATTTTGGCAACAATTTTAAACCTCTGAAAACCTGACGTCACAACAAGCCCGGCACGACTCGAGAAATACTTTCAATTTCAATGAAATCTATTAAAACTCTCACATGTACATTCACATGCGATTATCTCACAAACTGTCATCATATGTAGCGTAAAAGATCGCAAAGCTCATTGCAACAACAAAATCAAGCATCAACTCACGAGTAAATGAGCATGCTTGAGAATAATCGTCAGGCAATTAGAACAGTCACATTGAATTAAAAAGAACTGATTGATACTTACTTAGACCGCAATCTGCGGCACATATCAGTTGATTTGAGTTGTTATAGGTTTGATCATTTGTTCCACAGACTGGATTGTATTCTGATGTTGTTCGTCTTGGACATTCTTCGATGCATTCTGGAAAAATTTTGATTTTTAAGTTACTTTATACTTATTTCAATTTGTAGTACCTACCCTGAATATGTTGTGGAACTTCATTTGTATCTGGAGCTGAAGACGTTGTAATTGGTGAAGTTTTTGTAGGCCTAGCTGGTCTTGGTCTTCTTGTTCTTCTGGAATGATGTCCCCAATATCCTCTTTCACTGACTTTTTTTTCAGACTCACTTTCATCATCTGGAAATGTAACTTGCCTCTTAATTCTTTGACAATTCACAGCAACGAGCAAAATGACAGCAAATAAAATTATTGTAAAATTTTGCATCTTGCTATTTTCGATTGTAATTCAATACTGAGTCGCACTAAAGATTTTTATCTTATTTTATTGAATCTATTATTTGACTGTGTGAATTACTTGTAATTGATATTTTGTAGCTATATTCATTGTTTTGTGTTAGATTCGATTTACTGCTTTCTATTCTTAGGAAAAAGGAAAGTTCATTAAGGCCATAAACTCGTTTTGAAGATGTTAAGGTGAATTGATACTTAGTTGAAGGCTACTGAAGCTCCAAATTGTAATGTGAAGGCAGCTTAACTTTGAGGATCTAGTGTGAAAGCACCTTAACTGAAAAATGTATTTTGAAATTTTAGTGTGAAGTCACCTGAACCTTAAAACTATAGTGTTGAGGCACCTGCACTTCAAAAGGCTAGCGATAAGGTACCTGAGCTTCAGTAGTCTAGTGTGATGACACCTGAATCACAAAAGTCTAATGCAAAGACACCTGAACATCAAAAATCTAGTGTGAAGGCACCTGAACCTCAATGGCCTAGTGTGATGGCACCTGAATCACAAAAGTCTTGCGTGAAGGCACCTGAACTTTAAAACTTTAGTGTGGAGGCACCTGAACCTCAAAAATCTAGTGTGAAGGAACCTGAACCTTAAAATTGTAGTGTAGAGGCACCTTTACCGAAAATCTAGTGTGATGGCACCTGAACCCTAAAATTATAGTGTGTAGGCACTTGTTCTTTAAGAGTCTAATGTGAATGGACCTTAAAAATAATCTTCCTTTCTTCCAAAAATCTTCAAATAACAAATAATATAAATAATAAAATCTAAAGCTGTAAATTATTCAAATATGAAGTAAAGCTGAATATTCACGAGGTGAATTACATGGAATTGTCAATAATAAATAGCGCATTTATTTTCAATAAAAAGTCAAGTTTTGGGAATTCCTTGGAAAATACAGTAAGTCATTATTCATATTAATACAGGACTAGTATTTGCATGATTATTTTATTAAATAAATAAATACAATTTAATTTGCGTTTCTCATTCCAAATCAACGTTTTAACTGGTATTCATTAAACTTGACAGTATAAATTGGTGACAAATTCTACAACTTATAAAATAATTATTATGAATAAATAGAAAGTCACATTATAATTCAAAATAGATTCCTTACATTGTAATACTATATTACTTAATTAAAGTCTTCCAAAACTATCTACAAAATAAGATTATTTCCCTATAATAATCATAAATTCATCACTAATTAGTACCTTTAAAATTAAAATCTCATCAGTCAAGTCCAATTCAATCAATTAAAATTGCAAATTTATTACTTTAATTCTGGTCCCGCAAAATAAAACTTATTATGATTTTATGCAAATTTAAATTTCATTTGGAATTAATTAAGTCACGTTGTGAATCAATTAAAATGTATTTTCCCACAGTAAATTCAGAATGACGACTAAGTTTTGAAGAAAAAATTAAATAAATGTTTTTTTTTTTTTTTTTTTTTTTTTTTTCTTAAAATTATTTTTATCTTTATTTCAAAAATTTAAAAAGCTTTAGTTCAAGCTTTGATGATGACATTATGCTAAGAATTTTGGTTTTAATGCAGTGTGATAGCTCAGAAATAATCAATCTACTTTGTTGGTCGGACTGTTGTTGCATTACGTGATGGACAGGCTCCGTTCTGTGTTTTTCTCAGATCTAGAATTTTATTAAAAATTATTATAAAGCTGAAACAGCTCAATAGTAAGCAGAGCTTGAAGAAGACTAGGTTGACTTCGAATCTAATCAACTTTGAGCTCCGACACTAAATAATCAACTTACTAGCTCCACAATCGTTAGCACAGTCAAATCTCTCTTGATTCTGGTATGTCTGATTGTCACTTCCACAGACTGGATTGTAATTTGATAAGGTTGATTCAATGCATCTTTCGATACAGCCTAGAATGTTGTAAGAAAACATATTGTTTATTCTCTGTAGCGACTGCATTTCTTTGGTATCATTGAAAGTCAATGAACTGTCTTCTAAACCAGCTAGCTCCCTCACTAGACTATCAAATATCCAGTCAAAAATCCAACCTCGTATTTTAATCATTCTCATAAAACAACTAATTTTCAACAATAAAGCAGACTATAAAACACCTAAGCCATAAATGCACACTCAACTTGACTCATTTTGATAAGCATTTCTCTGTAAAAACCAGATTCGAGTCATTCTTACTGCCACTGACCTTTAATTCTTTTCTACTCATGCACATCTTCCTCATTTTACTAAACTCAAATACAAGTTTTATCTTCTAAGTAATAAAGTAATCAAATGTAAAGTATCAACTTACTTAGAACTTGTGGAGCTAATGTTGTCGATTGTTGTTGGACTTGCTGTCCTTGTTGGTTTGTAAATTGTTGACCCTGCTGCCCTTGCTGTCCTTGAAACTGTTGCCCTTGTTGACCTTGTTGATTTGGAAACTGCTGTCCTTGTTGATTTGGAAATTGCTGTCCTTGTTGTGGATTCTGACCGAATTGTGTTTGAAACTGTCCCGGGAAGAAAATACCTTCACCAGGTCTGATTCCACCAAAATTTGGAGGCTGAAATCCAAAGCCTGGCTGTCCGAATCCAAAGTTCTGCTGCCCTACTTGCCTTTTATTGATAACACGAGCATGACTGCTTGCAATAAAAATTGTAAAAATAATCGCAAAAATAAATTGTTTCATATTTTAATTATTAAGAGTATAAAGAGACTATAGAATAATCTTAAACAGCCGACGGTCGAATGAGAACTGATGAGCGACAATAAGCAAATAAATAGGGAGCGCATGGAAAAACACAGAACTAGCTTTGCATCTCATTACCGGTTTTTGTGTCTTCATTCTCTTGGGGATTTTTGTGTTTATGTTTATTATGATGATCAGAGAGTTGAATCGAGAGAATACAATTAAAAATATTGATAAGCTATATTTTGAACTTAGGAGACTAGAAAAAGTTTAAGGAATGTGTGTCAGTACCTGAAAGTTTTTGTCAAATGTTGAGTTGTTAAATTTTTGTTCAACTTTTATTTTGATTCATTTGTAAAAAAATTATGTTCTAGAAGTACTTAGATGATTAGTTGCTGCTCTTAATGATGCCTTTCATGATGATGATTTTAATTAACTGATCATTAAAGGTACCCAAACCTAATGTTCTCTTATGATCGTATTTAAGATTTAATTGCAAACTAGACTCAAAACACGTTAAAAGTTCCTGAGGTGTATATTATTCCACGACCTTAAAAGTTTGAGAATCCTAGAAAGCCAGTCTTAATAAAAAATTGAGTACATCTTATCAGATTTGTATTACATTTTGCAAAATAATATTTCATAAAATTGAATACTAGTTGATCACAATTTCCGATCACGACTCGATAGACGTCTGGGATCTGAACTGTTTTTTGTTTGAAGTTTGAACCTCAGTTGGTGTGGGGAGTGGAAGTTAAATTTGATTATTTAGGGTCTATTATTATTTTTATTATTATTATTTTTATTATGGTCCATCAGCATATAGCTATTTAAAGACCTGCATTATTCCAATAAATACAATTATCGAAATTATCTATATTTTTTTTGTGTCATCTCTTGGGTAGATGTTAAATCTCCGTTGCATTTTAATCAAAACATCCTCTTCTTGCTCTTTCATCTGTTCATCTTTTGCTTCCTCTTCTGACTCATCGTCAGATTCTTGATCCTCCGTTTTAGCAATGTCATACTTGAGAAATAGTTTGAATCGATCTCCATTTGTGTTTGGGGTTTCTGCAAGTTCGTCCACGAATTTGCAGAAATCATTGATTGTCTTCTCTATATCTGGGAACTTTTCCTGAGCGAAAGTTAATTTCTTGAAAAGTCCTTCAATATTGACTGCTTCTTGGAATTTAAGGTCTAGTAAGGTTGAGTAAAAGTAAAACACGAAAATATAATTTTTTTTTATCAAACTAAGTTTACTTTTATTGCAAATATTAGCAAACACACTTATTTTTGACTTAAAAAGATGTTTGGATATTATGGAGTTTTGACTTGTTGGTTATTTTGTGCAACAGGTGAAGGACGAGCTAATGGATTCCCGTAATGTTTTGGTCTCATAGCTTGGTATCTTTGGTTAGATACAGTCAAGTTTATTGGTTGATGATTAGCTGGATTTCCACCATAAATGTTTCTGTTTTCTGAAGGTTTATTTCCTTGATAATTCAAACTTGCTTGATTTCTTCTTAGATATTCATTTAATCCAAAATGTCTACTTATTCTTGTAATTTGCCGTTTTTGAATAACTTTGGCGTCGCTCAAAACAAGACAAAATAGAAAAATAATACACAATTTCATTATTTAACAAGTATCAAATAAACGACTGAAAATGTGAATTTAAAATGCGTAGACTTGAGGTCCACGAAAGACTTTATATACGAGTCAAAATATGTATTACAATTGTCTATTTTGGATCCTCTTCAATTTGAGAGAAAATGAGATGATAATAATAAAAATATTAAATGTGCCTTAATCTTAAGTTTCAATTAGTTGGAACAGTTTTAAATCTCTTTTGAGCATCTTCTTCCTTATTCATATTGCTAGGACCTTAAGCTTGGGTCCACTTTTATCAGCATGTGCAAGAAATGGGTTAAACGATGTAAAAGCTGGTTATAGCGAGAAGTTACTCTTTTACCTCTATTATCGAGGATTTCGATTTTTTTTACCAAAACATTCTAACATCTAACATCGCAAATGAAATAAAGAACTTACTAATTACACTAAGGATGTATGTCTGTATTGAGTATTTGGTAAATATTTATGTTTTGATAATTAATTGATTTGCAAATGAATGAACAAGACAAGCTTTAAACACAATAACATAGCATTTATTTTTAATAATTACTGAATAAGTTTAATACATTAAATAATTCTGTCCCAAAATTCCCATCACTGTTGCCTTTGCCATGGCGGTAATGTTGGACGAGGACATGCGCCACGCTGAATTGCTCGAATACCTTTAAAAAAATTAATTTGAGTCATTAATGAAGACATGGAAACAGCTAAGTCGTATAATAACAAAATTAAAAGTTCTCATGATTAACATTAGTTTTAATGTGGCTTAATTTGGCATGAACTTTGCACGTATTAAATTAAATGCTAATGAACCGTAGAATTTTGAACACATTTGGAATATTTGGCTTTTAGACTCAACAAGCTATGATAGACGGGGGCTTATTGACCCCCCCCCCGCCCCTACCCCCCTTCCCTCTCTTAGCCTAGATCATCCAATAAGCATAGCTAGGGGGTCTAAAGAGTCCCTTACCCTTTAGAAAAGAACTTTTTGCTGGAGAATTGATAAACATACTGGCAACCAGACAAACAAACATACCAACAGACCTAAGTCTTCAAAATTCCATCAACATCTTTCAACATCAAAGGTTCACTTCCACGTTATTTCCCATAAAACTTAACACACATTGCATCACTCAACATTCACAACTCTCATAACAGACAGCATTACTCACTTCGTCCACACTCGGCTGAACAATCAAGTCTCTCTTGATTATGATATGTTTGATTATCGCTTCCGCACACTGGGTTATATTGACCGGCTGTACTTTCGATACACGAGTCGATGCATGCTAAAATTATATTGAGTCAGTGTTGGAGAGAAAATGAGACGTTTTTAAGCTCTTTACCTTGAACTTGTGGAGAGACTGTTGTTGACACTACTTGTTGCTGTTGTTGATTTTGTAGTTGAGATTGTTGATTCTGCTGGGTCTGAGGTTGTACTTGTTGAGTTTGGGGTTGGAACTGTTGATTCTGTTGAGGTCGATTTTGGGGGGTTTGTGGTTGACTTTGTGGGATTTGGGGTCGACTTTGTTGAGTCTGTGGCTGAAATTGTTGGTTTTGTGGTTGAAATTGTTGGTTTTGTGGCTGAAATTGCTGGTTTTGTGGCTGAAATTGCTGATTCTGTGGAGGCGATTGATTGATGGAGTTGCCGAAAAATTGATTTTGTGGAAAAAATTGGTTTTGAGGGTAAAATTGATTTAAAAATGGATTCGACCCGAACATGTTGAATCCAAAACTATTTGGGTTGAATGGCTGACTGAAATCTGGAAATCCTCCTAAGAATCCATATCTGTCACTTACTGTTGGTCGAGTATCTGGGTTGTCTGCTGTTTGTCTTTTAACTGGAAGAGCTTGGATTGTGGTGAGGGTGGCCACAAAAATCAGGAAATAATCCAAAATGTTTTTCATTTTTTTTTTAAACTTTTAATTCTTAAAAATATTCAGGAATAAATTCACAAAAAAATAACAATATCAAAGTCCGGAATGAAATATTAATAACACAACACTTTAATCCAATCAATTCAGCATCTGAATAAGAACTGAGCAGATTTTTTACCCAAAAATATATTTGTTCTTTTAATTTGTCACGTCCTCTCGCAAGAGATTTTATTGACCACTAAAAAATATTTGCTGTTATTTCAACAATTGTTTTTTACAAAAAAATTCTGAGAGTTGAATGCAAAATTGAGAGAAATGCGCCAAGTTTGTTCACCAAATGAGATAAAAATGGATCAATCGAATGACTCAGCACCGTGAGTCTGAGTTTCTTTAAAGAATAAGAATTAATGAAAAAAATCACCGAATGACAGCTACTGGATATGAAAAAAAAATCACTCATTTTATTCATCAAATTTCTGTCATACAAAATAAAGCTTTTTTTTCTGTTCTCGCATTGGAATTTCCAGTTTCATGTCTAATGACTTTGTAGTTGATTTTTGCCTTTCGTTTCTGGTAGAAAAAAAATGCTGAATAATGCGCCGAGTAGACAGATCCCGGCGTAGATGAACATACAGTTTGAGAGGTTGATGGACTCAACAAGGATGGGGAAGACCTAAGTGGAACAAAGATCGAATTTTTAAGAATATTTGTTGATTGAATAATTAAAACCTTTAAGTTTGCGAATGTAGAAACTGCGATGACAGCCATAAACAGCATTTGAGTCGTATCACGGATCTAGAAAATAATTAAAAGACAATAAAAAAATGTTTCATGTAACAACAGTGGCCCAAATTCATGGCAACTCGACAACCTTAATCAAAATCAATCAATTTTAAGATTGAGCGCTACGAGTAGCTTTAGAAATCAGGGAATGAGGGCCCTCGAGGTAATCATATCGAAATATCAAACAGAACTCGAAATTGTCTTCAGTTTTGTAATGAAAAATCTTGTTAAATCAACTCGACTTCAAACAAAACTTAAGTCAACTGCAAGCTCTGATTCTAAGATTTAAGATTATTTCTCACTTTTCGAGGAACCAGTTCAGAAACAATCAATGAAGGAACTGTTGAAATTCCAATCGAATGTAGAAATAAAGCACATGATAAGCAAGCAATCGAAATCAACTTGTATTGTTCTGAGATTCCATTGACTGAGTCAGCATATGAATAAGTTGCAAAAACCAAAAGTGATAATCCAGAGCCTGCACAAGATATACTCATGAGGGTCTGAAAATAATAAATAAAAAATTAATTCATTTATGTTGAGTTGCTTGCTGGAAGCTGCTCATGACTATACAAAGACTATGCTCTTAGTCACAGGCCTAGCTAGGCCTAGACCTAGCTTGTTCCTCAAAATTACCTTTCTTTTATATTTTTCAGTAAAATTACACCCAATGAAGGTTCCAACAAAATGACTAAATGCTACAATAATTGAAGACTGATTTGCACTAAGCGACGAACCTGATGACTTAAAAATGTCTGCTGAATATGTCAAAATTATCATGTATCCTGAGGATGAGACAATTATCCCAATAATAATAGTCATTGTGAGTCCATAAATTGATGACCTTTCAACTGAAATTGTGGATTTAATTTTTTATACTAAAATTATCTTAAATTTTCAGTTTCGTCCATACAAAAATCCTTCATTCCAACTTCTGCTTCTGGGACATTGAATAAGCTTTTCCTCATGACTTCCAATTCATTCTTAATTGCTTCAATATTTTCAGAATTATTCTCATTGCAGTTCCTGTAATATTTCAATGATTTCAGAGCTTCCATATCGTTCAACTTTTTTAATAGATATTGAGGAGTTTCAGGCAAAAGCATCATTAATATGAAGTATAGGATTAAAATTGGAACTATGATAAGTGGTACCATAAAGTAGCTTATGTAGGTTCCAATGGTAAACATAAATAAAATTCCAAAACTTATTGACAATGTTGTATAAGCATTAAGTTGCTCACGAATGTTGATGTCTGTAATTTCCTCAATAAAAAGCGGAACGATTCTTAAAAGGGCACCGCCAGACAGACCTGAAACTTAAAGTATCAAGCACAATAGACTTAAATATAAAGCTACCTTTCCTTACCGGCTACAGCCCTTGCAATATAAAAATTATAGACATCTGTTGACACAACAGTCCGTATCCAAAATATCAAACTTGGAAAGGTCAAAACAACCAAACATTTCTTCATTCCGATGGTGTCTGCAACAATTCCGACAGTCAAAGTACCAACTAGGGATCCTAGGAACATCAGAGAACCTAAAAGAACAAGAAGTAGATTCTGAGGTGAAGGAGATATCCAGTGAGTAGGGACACCCCATTAAATTCTGTCTTAAACGTTAGAATGAAAAACTCACCGATCCACGAAGCATCAGACGTCGATACAGTCCCTGTCTCTAATTGTGCCTCATTTGATTTAAGATATGGAATCATTGGAGATGTCCATCCTATAGCACATCCATGAATCAAGGCCAATATATTGACTAAAAATAAAATTGATATTTAAAGTTTAAGAACCAAAATTTGAAGTCAAACGAGTTTTTTTTTGTGCTTTACCAATAAAAATTGCAATTTGTTGATTTTTGGTGCTGGAATTAGTCCACGGAAGTTTAACTTTGATGAACATTTTTTATCTTAATTTGTGAAATTTTTTAATTTATTTGAATTTGTAATTTTCGCAGACAATAGAAATTAAACATCTGCTTTGCCTTGCAGAGCCAACAACACTAAAATCAAGAACATTTATATTCAAATATGATAATCACAACAGTTTTGTTAGATTTGCGAGATGATAAAAATTCACAACAATTTTTCAGTTGTGCATTCTGACATTCGTCAACTGGTTTTATTGGCAAAAAAAATATTTTAATTTTATTCATCATAATCAGGTGATTCTCGTCTATTGACTCTGGAATAAATTCTTCCCCTTAGTTTCAGGCATGATAAAGACTGTCACAAAAGTTCCCATGATGCAAAATCCAGCATAAATGTACATGCATCCATACAGGTTAATGATCTCAACTAGCGGTGGATATACCTGCGGAAACAATGAAGATTGATTAATCTGTGATTAATAACTGATTTATAAACCTTACCTTAAGATTGACGAATGCAAATGTCGTGATTAGAGCCATGCAGATCATCACAGTAGCTTCTCGGATCTAAAATTCAGAATTCATGCATGCAGGTCTAATCAAAAATCTATTCCCAACTCACCTTCTGTGGAACCAATTCAGTCACAATCATAAATGGCAATGAAGAAATTCCGATCGAATTCAGAAAAATCGTAAATGACAAACTGACGATCGGGATCCAATTTAGATTATTGGAAACTTCAAAGTTAATATCGACATATGAGTAAGAAGCTAAAGCTAGCAATGACAATCCTGATCCAAGGCATGAAATACTCATGAGAATCTTCCTTCCAAATTTGTCAACAAACAGGCTGGCTATGTAGATTCCAATAAACTGGATGGATGCGACAATCATTGAAGATTCATTGGCACTGAGCGATGAGCCTGAGGATTTAAAGATATCTGCTGTGTATGACAAGATTATCATGTTTCCAGAAAATGAGTTGATGAATATCAAGAAGAAGCTCATGATGAGGCCACGACGTGCTGATCGTTCGACTGAGGATTAAATTGTGGAAATTATAAATTTTTTTGGCTTTTTTTTTCAGATCCAAGACTTACCAAAGTCCTTCAGCTTCACATCCTGCTTATGAACATTCAAAATATTCGCCCTCAAAGCTTCATACTCATCTGTAACAGCCTCAACATTCTGACTATCCTTTTCATTACAATTCCTGTAAAATTTCAATGATTTTAATGCCTTCTCATCCTTATGATTTCTCAATAAGTGCTGCGGTGTTTCCGGCAGTAAAAACATCAAAAAGAAGTACAGAACCAAAATTGGAATCATCACAAGTGGGATTGTAAAATAATTCAAGTAAGTTCCGAGGACGAACATAAAGAAAATTCCAATATACATTGCTAGTGGAAAATAAGCACCGAGTTTGCCTCTAATGCTGCTTTCTGCAATTTCTCCTATGTAGAGTGGAACTATTCTGAGGAGGCCGCCATTTGTGATGCCTAGAAAGTTTGAGAACCTTTGAAATATTGGTTGAATTCGAGAGGATTCTTCACTCAAAACGTGGATAGAAATTCTTCAACCTTAATCCTAATCCTTAATAGCAAGACTAACTTCAAATTGATTTCAATGACATACCAGCAATAATACGAGCTATATAAAGATGAATAACATCAGTTGACAGATAAGTCATCACCCAGAATGTCAAATTTGGCAGGCATAAGAATATCAAGCACTTTTTCTTTCCAAAATACTCAGCAAGCTTCCCAAAAACTAAGATGCTGGCTAGTGCTCCAGCAGACATCAAAGAACCTGGAATAAGATTAAGTTGCAATTGAATGTTTAGCAGAAGTTTTAGGATTTACCAATCCAAGAAGCTTCTGTCGCATCAATTGGTCCTGATTTTAGGTGAGTTTCATCAGATTTGAGGTATGGAATCATTGGAGATGTCCATCCAACTGTAGATCCATGAATGATTGCAAGAATATTAACTGAAAAGATAGATTTGAGGGAGGTTCATTTAATTATTATGAGGGAGGTGGGTCTGAGATTTTTTGAGGGAGGGGGGGGGGGGGTGGATGATTCAAAAATTAATTTTTTGATGAACGTCCTCAAATGGGACAAGTCGCTTAACCAAATAGAAATCTGGCGCCAAGCCAGCACGCGGAATTAAAATCGTAGCTAGCACCATGCCAGAGTCACACCAGTTTGGTGCCGGATTTCTGATCGATTAACCAACTTGTGCCGTTCAGGTTCAAAATTGAATCAACCAATTCAATCAAGCAAGTCAAGTGCTTTTTTAAGGTCAATGACCTCTTATTTATTTAGTGGATTGCTTTAATTTTTAAGAATTTTAGAATGAAATAAAACATCATTTACCTATGAATGTAGCTACATACTGATTAGATGCACCTTGAGCAATCCATGGAAATTTAACCAACATAATCAGACTGATTTTAATCAAATATTTGATTTTTAACCAAACTCTGAATTTTCTGGGTCACAAAAAATATATCTTTATCAAAGAATTTCCATGAAAGTTCTAGCAGCTCGCCTATATTGCAGCTAAGATCTGCAGCCTTCTAAATATCAATTAAAATAATCTCAAACTTATATTCTTTAAAAATTCACAGCAGTTTTTGATTGAATTATAAAAATTTGTACTTTAAGTTTTTGAGCACATTTCACCTCAGATTCTCAGTCTAAACTAAGGCAATTCGAGACTAGATTAGAGTTTATTGGGCACTTAGAAAGATAAGGCTATAAATTAAATTTTGAGCAAATAATATAAAATTGAGATAGCGACTTGATAATGAACTTAATGCTTGAGCTTTTTCTCTTTATTTTTAAATAAAAGTAGCTCAAATGGCACATGGCTATTGTCAAGTTAGGGACTATCTTGACCCCCCCCCCCCCCCTTCATTAAATCAATAAAAATTTCACATTTTATTTAAAAATTATTTTATTTCACGACTCTCGTTAATTTTGGAACAGATTCTTTCCTTTAGTCTCTGGCATCACAAAGACTATAACAAATGTTGCAAGTAGACAAAATCCTCCATAAATGTACATGCAGCTATAAAAACTGATGCTTTCAACTAATGGAGGATATACTTTAAGATTGATGAATGCAAAAAGGGTGATGAGCATCATGCAGATCATTACAGTTGCTTCTCTGATCTTCTGCGGCACCAACTCAGTCACAATCATGAACGGAAGTGAGCAGATGCCAAAAGCATTCATTAAGATTGTCATTGACAAGCTGAAGATTGGAATCCAGCCAAGGTTGCCTTCGTATTCATAATTTGTGTCTACATATGAGTATGTGGCTAGAAGCATAAGGAATAGCCCTGATCCTACACAGGATATGCTCATAAGGACCTGAAATATAAGAATTTAAATTAATTGCTCAATATTACAATAGAGGAACCAACCTTCCTTCCAAACTTATCAACATATAAACTAGTGATGTAGATTCCAATAAATTGAACTCCAGCAATGATCATAGCTGCTTCATTAGGTTTGAATGAAGAGCCTGCAGATTTGACAATATCAGCTGTGTATGTTAAAATTGTGAAATTTCCAGAAAATGCTCCAATAAAGACCAGGAAGATGCTGATGAAGAGACCTCGACGAGACTTCTTTTCGACTAAAATTGAATGAAAAAATCAAATTTCATTGAAAAAAAATCAAAAATTGATCCAAAAACTAACCGAAATCTTTGAGATTAACTTCGAACTTTCCCTGACTTTGGATGTTCTTTTTCAATGCTGACAATTCATTTTGGACATTCTCTAAATTTTGAGAATCTTTGTCATTGCAATTTCTGTAATATTTCAGTGACTTCAAAGCTTCTTCTTCCTTTTGCTTCTTCAAATAATATTGTGGAGTTTCCGGCAAAAACAGCATAAGTACAAAATAAGCAACAATGAATGGAAATATCACAAATGGGATAATAAAGTAGTCGATGTAAGTTCCAATAACAAAAATAAGGAAAATTCCAAGATTTAGCCCGAGTGGGAAAAAGGCACCAAGTTTTCCTCGAACATTGCTTTCAGCTAGTTCACCGATGAATAATGGAACGATTCTGAGCTGACCTCCACCGCAGAAACCTTTAAATTATTAAAAAAAAATAGCCAAGCTTGCCATGCTTCAGATTATACCTAGCCTCATACCTGCCACAGTCCTTGCTGCATACAAATGAAAAACATTAGTCGAAACATACGTCAATGTCCAAAACAATACAGCTGGGATGCTAAGTGCTATTAAGCATACTTTCTTGCCAAAGTAATCAGCAGCTATTCCAGTTATCACAATACTAAACACAGCACCAAGGGAAAGACATGCACCTAGTCAATAAAAGTTTTTTCGTTCATGTTTTGATTTTTATCATTAAGTAAATAGTTTACCGATCCATGAAGCTTGTTGAGGTGTGATTGGACCTGCATTCAAATGTGTGTCTTCAGATTTTAAATATGGAATAATTGGAGATGTCCATCCTATGGCACAGCCATGAATAACTGCTAGGGAACTGACTAGAAAGGGGGTTTGAAGATATTTTATAGAAATTATTAAGCTTGTGCTGGTTTTTAGAGCTATTTGGGGTACTCTTGCGTTAAAAATTGATTCTGAGGTTTTAGTAAGATGATCATGAATAAGGTACAGTACATATTGTTGTAGCCATGAGGTTCAAGAAGATTCAAAATCCTTTTATCCTTCAAAATGCTCAAGAAAATTAAAGTATAAAATAAATCCAGAGGTTCTGACACAACCCCAGACTTCACTCCAGTTCCTTACCTAAAATAGATGCAAAATACTGATTCTGCGTACTTGGTGCGATCCAAGGAATTTTTATGATCATTTTTAATTAAATTTTCTCCAAACTTCCTGCACTTCTCAAAAAAAACAAAACAAGATCAATGCCGTGATAAGTTCTTGACAGTCCACTCAATCATAAAACCACTTGAGAACTAAGCTGTTATGACTCGATTAAATAGAAAACAATCACAGTTGACTCACTAATGCACATATGTATGCGACTGATTTATGATGTTCTAGATTTACTAGAATTAATTTTATTTTGAATTTCAAAGAACTTATTTAACAAATTAATTTTAAAACATTTTTAAAATCACAATTTTTTTTAGCTCCTGTAAAATCAGTTTTTACCACTCGAGTCCTCAATTGAAACTGAAATAATATTTTACTTTAACTTTTAATGTTTTTAAGGTACTTGAAACAATAATGTTGCAAACTCTCTCTCGTCGTATGGATTAAAATACAAGCTATAAGGTGTGATTTATTAAATATTTAATCTTTATTTACATTCAATGAAGATTTATAAGTTTCCGCATTTTTCTTATCTGTGCCTTCATGATTCATGATTTTGGAACAAGTTTTTCCCTTTCGTTTCTGGCATGATGAAGATTGTGACGATCGATCCGACTATGCAAAATCCAGCATAAATGAACATGCATCCATAAAGGTCAATGACCTCAACAAGAGGTGGGAAGACCTGTTAAATTCATTATCAAGAGTGAAAATGTAAAAAATGAAAGTTAAAAAGTCGATTTATGTGTTACAAGATAAATTTATGTCTGAGTAGCTCATGAGATGTTCCCAAATGACCAGTCAGAGATTCCTACTCACCTTAAGATTTGTGAAAACAAACAAAGTCATGCAAGCCATCAGAATTGTCACAGAAGTTTCCCTAATCTGTTGAAACAAATAAAATTGAGTCATTAAAGTAGCATATCATAAGAACTAAGGTTCAACATTACCTTCTGAGGCACCAACTCAGTCACAATCATAAACGGAAGTGATGAAATTCCAATGGAATTTAACAAAATAGTCAACGATAAGCTGACAATTGGAATCCAACTTAAACTGGATGGAACTTCAAATATTGATGTGACATAAGAATATGAAGCAATAAGTAGAAGTGATAAGCCTGAGCCAAGACATGAAATGCTCATTAAAATCTTTCGTCCAAACTTATCGACAAACAAGCTTGCGATGTAAATTCCAATAAATTGGATGCATCCGATGATCATTGATGATTCATTAGCACTCAGTGATGAGCCAGACGAATCAAAGATGTCTGCTGTGTATGACAAGATTGTCATATTGCCAGAGAATGGCATTATAGCCATTAGGAAGACACCAATTAGTAGTCCACGAATTGAAGCTTTCTCAGCTGGAATTAAAATTATTAAAAATCCAATAATTTTAATCAAAAAACTTACTAAAATCCTTCAACTTGACTTCTGTTTTGTGATGATTCAGCACATTTATCTTTAGAGACTCTAGTTCCTTTTTAATCATGTCAATATTTTGAGAATCTTTCTCATTACAATTTCTATAAAACTTCAGTGACTTTAATGCCTTCTCATCCCGATGCTTCTTGATCAAAAATTGTGGTGTGTCAGGAAGAAACAGCATCAATGCAGCATATAAAAGAACAAATGGAACCATCACGAATGATATTGTGTGATAATCCAAATAGGTTCCAAGGACATACATCAAAAATATCCCAAAATTCATTCCAAGTGGGAAATAAGCTCCAAGTTTGCCTCGAACATTACTTTCAGCAATTTCGCCAATATAAAGAGGAACAATCCTAAGTAATCCACCTCCGGTGAAGCCTGCAACTGCTCGTGCAGCATAAAGATGATTGACATTTGTTGCCATGTATGTTAAAATATAAAATGCAAGGTTTGGAAGGCAGAGAATGATTAAGCATTTCTTTTTTCCAATGTAGTCTGCAACTTTTCCAATTATGAAGATATTTACTAAGGCTCCGAGTGTTATTGCTGAACCTGGAATTTTTATATTTTTTTTAAGCAACAAAGAATCCAGTAAGTTGCATTTTGGACAGCAATAAATGTTTTCTTGTGTCTTCTATTGATAACTAATTGCTTTAAATTGAGACCTGACAATCAAGTTTATGGCCACTCTAGCGATAAATGTTTTGTGGTCGCTATCTTTTGAGATAAGAAAAAGTGAGAGTCAACAAGTCAAGGTAGACACAATGACATGACAAATTATTGTCAAAACAAAGGAAATACTTAATAAGGCCAAGGGCATGGCTAGTAAGATGATGTTTTGACCATGCCCACTTAGAACCTTCTTTGTTCCCAATCTGAATAATGTTTTTTGATGATTTTCTCTAAAATTAATTTTTGTGGCACAAAATAAGACAATTGGATGTAAATTGAGTAAAGTATCTCTATAAATGCATCATAATCACTATCTAGCCTAATCTTACCAATCCATGAAGCTTCCGTTGCATTTATTGGTCCACTTTTAAGATGTGTGTCTTCAGATTTGAGGTATGGAATCATCGGGGATGACCATCCAATTGCACAGCCATGAGTGATTGAGAGAATGTTGACTGGAAATAGAATTAAGTTTCAGAAGTCCTTAAAGCTATGTTTAAGACAAATTACATTAGTAACAACTAACAACATGAGGATCAGACTGCACTTGACTACCGATCCAAATATTGAATCAAAGTCAGCACGTTCAAAGCAGCAGTCATTAAAATACTAACCAGCAAATGTAGCTAAATATTGATTTATTGTGCTTGAGTTAATCCACGGAATTTTCAGAAATAATTTCATTTTTTTAATTTTTATTTATTTTATATCACTTGCTTAAACTGAATTTGTTAAGCACTTTTACACTACTAAGCACATTAAATTGTATAACAAACTCTTCAGCTATGAAGACTTGCAAGTTATTAAACCACTGAGTTCAAAAACAAGCTATTGCCGTGGCATACTTAGTGAATTTCTTTTTAAAATTAGATAAATTTAAAGCTAGAATTGCAATTTTATGTTATTTACACAAAACTAGTCACATTATTTTTAAGCACTCAAAAGCTTATTTCCAACTTGAATTCTCACCTTAAACTGACTGAAATGTTCATCAAAAAAAGTGAAGTTTAAAAGGCACTCGAAAAAAGATAAGACTTCAACTCTCATTTGAGTAAATAAAGATATGAAGCACTAAAGCGTGATAATTAAGACTTAATAGCTTGATTCTCTGTTTATAAATGAATTTTATGATTAAAATATTTTTTTTGTGGGAAAAAACGCGCGTGTGGAGAAATGGAGATGAAGGAGATAATCATCGGATGCTGGTTTTGATGAGACTGAGGTTGGAGATTGATTATTTATGTTTGCTTGATTTGGGAAATTTTGATCATTTTAAAGTTTTTTATTTTTTCAAATTTTTTCAATTTTTTCAATTTTTTCAATTTTTTCAATTTTTTCAATTTTTTCAATTTTTTCAATTTTTTCAATTTTTTCAATTTTTTCAATTTTTTCAATTTTTTCAATTTTTTCAATTTTTTCAATTTTTTCAATTTTTTCAATTTTTTCAATTTTTTCAATTTTTTCAATTTTTTCAATTTTTTCAATTTTTTCAATTTTTTCAATTTTTTCAATTTTTTCAATTTTTTCAATTTTTTCAATTTTTTCAATTTTTTCAATTTTTTCAATTTTTTCAATTTTTTCAATTTTTTCAATTTTTTCAATTTTTTCAATTTTTTCAATTTTTTCAATTTTTTCAATTTTTTCAATTTTTTCAATTTTTTCAATTTTTTCAATTTTTTCAATTTTTTCAATTTTTTCAATTTTTTCAATTTTTTTAATTTTTTCAATTTTTTCAATTTTTTCAATTTTTTCAATTTTTTCAATTTTTTCAATTTTTTCAATTTTTTCAATTTTTTCAATTTTTTCAATTTTTTCAATTTTTTCAATTTTTTCAATTTTTTCAATTTTTTCAATTTTTTCAATTTTTTCAATTTTTTCAATTTTTTCAATTTTTTCAATTTTTTCAATTTTTTCAATTTTTTCAATTTTTTCAATTTTTTCAATTTTTTCAATTTTTTCAATTTTTTCAATTTTTTCAATTTTTTCAATTTTTTCAATTTTTTCAATTTTTTCAATTTTTTCAATTTTTTCAATTTTTTCAATTTTTTCAATTTTTTCAATTTTTTCAATTTTTTCAATTTTTTCAATTTTCAAAAAAAATTATTCACAATATCATTGATTCTTATTCAATTCAAAAAGTTCACATTTCAAATCAACCAACGCCATCTGCAACTGAAACTTTCAATCAAATACTGAATTCAGAAACTTTATTTAATAAACTTTGGACATTATCATCAGGTACCACAAGTGACATTATCACCAACTTATTCCCATCCTCATATCATCTGAGAACTTCATCAACAAAACATCAAAACAATTTTCGAGAATATTCAAAGAAAAAGCGAAGGAACCAAAGAATTAAACATGATGAGCTTGAGGATTGTTGCTAGAAATGCTGTAAAGTTCAGAAATGGAATCACGACAGTCGGTAAAAAGTGGAATTATCGAGGTAAATATTAAATAATTTGATGAGTGGTTGACATAACCAAAATCATTAGAAAACTTTTTTGGACGATTTAGGTACAGTTTAAAGAGTCGGAGCAGTTATAGCTTAAACTGGACAAAAAAATATTCAGAATCTGTCCACAAAACCCAACCGACTCTAAAAACACAATCACATACCTAATAATCCAATTTTTCATCATAATTTCAGCACCATCATCAATTACCCCAGCCCTAACATCCCGCCTGTACCACTCAATCATCAGAGAATCAGAAAAGGTCAAAGGAGCTCCAGAAAATCACGAATTTAAGGCTGAAACTCGAATGCTACTCGACATTGTCGCCAAATCCCTTTACTCAGAAAATGAAGTTTTTGTTCGTGAGCTGATCTCTAATGCCAGCGATGCCATTGAGAAGTTCCGATACATATCAAGCACAAATCCAGACAATGTCACTGGATTAGATCGAAAACTTGAGATTCATATAGAAACTAATAAGCAGAACAGAACATTGATTATTCAAGACACTGGAGTTGGTATGACTAAGGATGAAATGATTGATGCTCTTGGAACTATTGCTAGGTCTGGATCGAAGAACTTCTTAAAGCAAATTGAAGATTCACAACAAGGTGCTGCAGCTAATATTATTGGACAGTTTGGTGTTGGATTCTATTCAGCATTTATGTGTGCTACAAAGGTTGATGTCTATTCAAGAGGATCACATCCTGATGATGTTGGCTACATGTGGACCAGTGATGGAACCGGTTCCTTTGAAATCCAAGAATGTGAGGATGTTGCAGTCGGAACTAAAATTGTCATTCACCTCAAAGCTGAATGCCGTGAATATGCAGAAGAGGATAGGATTCGTGATGTCATCAAGAAATACAGCAACTTTGTCGGTTCCCCAATTTACCTAAATGGCAATCAAATGAACTTAGTTCAACCATTGTGGCTTATGGAACCAAAAGAAGTCACAGATGATCAGCACACAGAGTTCTTTAGATACATTGGAAATTCATTTGATATCCCAAGATACAAGCTTCATTTCAAGACTGACGTTCCATTGTCATTGAGGACTGTCCTTTATTTCCCAGAAGGCAAGCCAGGACTCTTTGAAATGTCACGTGATTCAGACACTGGAATTGCACTTTATACCAGAAAGATTTTAATTCAATCCAAAACAGACTTGATGCTTCCAAAATGGCTGAGATTTATTAAAGGAGTTGTTGACAGTGAGGACATTCCATTAAATCTTAGTCGTGAGCTTCTTCAGAACAGCAACTTAATCAGAAGACTCAGAAATGTCCTCACATCTAAAGTTCTCAAGTTCCTGTATGACAAATCAGTCAAAGATCCAGAAAGCTACGAAAAATTCTACAAAGACTACGGCTTGTTCCTTAAAGAAGGTATTGTAACAACACAGGAACAGCCACAAAAAGAAGAAATTGCCAAACTCTTAAGATTCGAGACTAACAAGAATGACGATGGCAGCAGAATTGGAATTGAGGAATACATTAAGCAACTTAAGGAGGATCAAAAGGAAATTTATTATTTAGCAGCTCCATCAAGAGCTTTAGCACTTAACTCACCGTACTTTGAGAGTTTGCAGAAGCGAGACTATCCAGTTTTGTTCTGTTATGAGCCATATGATGAGCTTGTGTTGATGCAGTTGATTAGTTATATTGTGTTGATGCAGTTGATTAGTTATAAGGTAGGTGTTGATTTTACTGAAGTATGTCCTTAGTGGCACTTGAACTGAGGGACTTTAAGAACCCAGGAGGCACCTAAGGGTTGGTGGTGCTACTTTTTGGTCTATAAAGACTTACAAGACACTACTAAGCTACTGTAGATTGACTAATTTACAATTCTTATTAATTTTAGGGTCACAGCCTCGTCAGTGTTGAGAAAGAGATGCGCAGAGCAACATCTACTGAGGAAGTTGACCAATTCTTTCAGGAACATGCCAGTGATACCCTCTCACAACGTGATACAGACGATCTTGTAAGATTCTTGAAGACAGAACTCGGAAATAAGGTCGCAAATGTTAAATACACAAGTAAACTTGATCATCATCCATGTATTGTGACTGTAGAGGATATGGCAGCAGCTAGGCATTTTATTAAAACACAAAGTCATCAATTGACTGAAGATAATCGTTATGCATTGTTGCAGTCGCATTTGGAAATTAATCCTAGACATCCAATTATCAAGAAGCTTCATAAATTGACCACAACTGATGAGAAGCTTGCATCACTTTTAGCACAGCAGTTATTCTCTAATGCCATGACAGTTGCTGGACTTGGTAAGTTACAAGACTTGTTAAGTGATGATTTTTAAGTAATTATTGAATTCAATTTAATTTGCAGTTGATGATCCACGCCTGCTGTTGACACAAATGAACGAGCTTTTGGTCAAAGTATTGGAAAAATTCTAAAAAAGTTAATTTTCAAATCAAAAAAATGTTATGTGCTTTAAGGTCTGTAAATAAGGAATAGTCAGAATTTAAATTTCAATAAAATTAACAGAATTAAACAATTTAAATGATATCTTTTATTTGATAAAGATTAATCCTCAATAAAACTGGTTCAAACTGATCAATCAGATAAAAATTGAATGTTTGTCGGCGGCATACATCGATGTTTACTATAAAAGAAACCAAAGCAGCTCAATGCATGTTTAGTGTTGACTTAAAATTTGATCTAATTTCATTGATTTTATTACTAATTTAAATATAGTTCAAAAGTATGATTTCTATAGTTTTAGTCATAATTCTAATCAATCTGCAACAATCAATCTTAACATCTAGTCATAAAGCTGTGCCTGCAACATACAATAGTCATAAAGATGATGATTTGATATTGAATTCATGGCCTCAGCTATTGACCAATGAAGACTCCCCAAAAGACAATAAACTAAATAGCAAAAATCCACAACATTTGACAAAAAGATATAAAAGAGATGTCAATTCAGATGATATAGTCACTTCCATTTACAAAGGACTAGAGGAAGAAAATGACTTGACGATCTTAATTTTTATATTCTTAATCATCTGCTTTATGCTAGTATTTTACTATATTTATCTCTGCTTGTTCCAACGTTCATGACTTTCTGATGCTTTTTATCGGCAAGAAGGGTAGCCAGGATGTCAATTTTGTCGATAAACATCATTCATGGTCGACCCTAAAATTAAAAAAAAAATAACTGGAAACAGAAAAACAAAACAAAAGCTTCAATTTCACTTGTTATCCATCATGAGTCAAAATAAAAATCCGATAAAAGTAATCGAATAGATAAGAATCTTAAGACAAGACAACTGCAGCCTAGTCTAGAGTGAAATTTCAATCAAAAAATAAAGTTTCATGGCTGAGAAAAGTGAAGAAATTGAAAAATTTGATGATGTTGTTGCTGAAGCTTACCGAGACGTTGATGAAGAAGATGAGCTACTTGTGCTGATTATTGTGTTCTCAGTTATTAGTGTTATATTGGTGATTTACTATATTTATGTCTACAAGTGCTTGAAATCACAGGAAGAAAGCCGAAATGAAGAAACCTTAAGATTGAATCAGATTTCGTGATTTTATTTTTTTGTGAATTAAGATTTAAAAATAAATTCAAAATAAATTAATCAGCAGTGCAATAATTTTAAAGTAATAATTATCAATTAGCGGTGAAGATGCATTTATAACCTTGAGTTTAACATGATATTACATTGTTAAAAATTCTGTCAGTTACATTTAAACAAGGCAGACTGCAGAATGTCTTGTGGGTCTGTGAATTATTGACAATTAATTATTTAAATTAGCAGAAATAAAATTGCAAAATTTTGAATTATTTTGAGTTGACTGTGAAATCATATTCAAGTTTGGTAATCAGTTGTTCTGCTCTTTTGTCTCTTGAACAATTTTTTATCCCGACCTTTGAAGTTGCAAACTTCTCAAGATGCAAAAAATCATTGGGTTTGTCCTTTGTAAAGTGATTTAATAAAGTTTCCAGTTCAAAAAAAGATATTTTTCTTCATTTCAGTCGGACAATCATTTTCATCCTTCTGCAAACTTATGCTACGACTTTAGTTGATGCTGCAATTGACAATGCTCAACATTTGGAAAAACAATTGAAAGATGATCCAATGAAAATAAATAAAAGCAATACACTAAACCAAGAATATACCAAAATGTTGTCAAGACATGAAATTGAAATTGTAAATCCAAAACATGTCAATTTTATAACAAAAGTCGTTAAAAAACCTGCAAGAATTGACGAAATAATACTTTGGATCTGTATTTTTGCAGGCATTTTAGTGACTCTTCTATTAGCTTTGTATCTGATGTGCATAACTGAATGTAAATCAGAAGATCCAAAAACATCATATTTGAATAATGACGAACTTAACCAAATACTAATCAAAAAATAAAATTATTTTTTTAAAAATGAAAATTCTCAAATCTAACTTGCAAACCAGAGCTCGAAGTCGATAAGGTTCGAGTCGACTCGATTCAACTCGAGTCAACTTCGAGCTCTGTTAAAAACTTCATTCCAGCATAAAGTCAGTAAAATTCAAAATTTTATCTCAACTGAGCAATTAAATAATTTCAAACATTAAACACAAAATTATTCAAAGTTCCTAAAAATTTTATTCACATCTTCACAGCAGTAAACTTCCATCAGAAGTCCCCAAATATCCAATCGAGTTCAATATTGAGTCAACAATAACCCAAACTCCCAAACCACCGAAACTAAATAATTTTCCAATTCCTTCTTGCCAGTGTCCAAGATAAAATCGATCAACTCCAAATCCACCCAATGTTATGCTCAGCACCAAGGCTGTAAAGTATTTTGATCCTCTCGTCCAATTACATTTTACATTCTTTGGAAATTGACGAGATCCGAGGCATAAAACATTCGGTTTTACTGTGCAATTTGTCTTGTAAAATCCATATGCTGAATTGCAGTTTGTGTTCTGTTTACAGTCATGTTCCCATGGTTCTGTAAGGAAGCAGTAACGACACGTAAAATATCTAGAGAAAGTTCGCTGTTCTTTTCCATTTTCAATTTCTGCAATGCACTGGACTTGTGATCGTGGATCACATGTAGCGCGAGATGTCTCACCATATGTACAGCCGAGCTCGTAAGTGCATCTGATGCATGGAAATTGAAGGTCTGAGCAATTTGTTGTGTTGTGGCCGCAAGTTGATGGGTTGAAATTTCGTTCCTGGAATGTTAAGATAAAGTTTTAATGTTGGGAAGTTAAATAAAGAATTTAAGATCGTCAAGGTTGATCTGGTTTGGTCTTCCCGTTATCTTTCAAGATTTCCTTGTAAAACAACTCCTGGAAGACGATGGAGCAACAATATTACGTCCCTGATAGACATAAAGTCCACATCACACACTTGCATCCCATATTGAATACCATAAACCCTCAAAAATGCACATTTAACTGAAATTCATACTAAATCATAATTGATGTACTGACAAATATACTTACGTCATCCTGACTCAACGAATATTGACTATCAGAATGAGATGAATTTTGCCTCAGTGCTTTCATGCTTTGGTCGTTTTTATCGTCGATTGCTAAAATTGAGAAACATTAATAATTAATTTTCTGGTTGAATCTCAAACTATAAACTCAAGAGCAGACACTAAGAGCACATGTAGATTAAGAGTAGTTGTTGGATCAGGTGTGTACCAAAAAACCAACCCTGGCTCCCATCTTCTTGAGTTAACTCTAACTACACTCAAAAAACCAGCTCTATCCAAATTTAAGGTTCTGCTTTTAGATTAAGAAAAGCTAGTATAGACTGAGCAGACAAGATACTAGTCATTGAATTCAGAGACTTAGATGGTCACTTACCAGTTTCTGTGTATTTGATGTAATTCGCCGCTAATGACACAAACATGAATGCGACGAATTTAATGTCTACCACAACTCTTCTAGGCATCTTTAACTGATTATGCTTTGATCAACAGTAAGTTCAGCTACTAGCTGGCTTCTAGCTTTAAGCTTTGTCAGATAGAATTTTGCGATTTCAAATTGAAATGATAAGTTTTATTCAGGATGAAATTTTCAGTCCCAAATTAAATCATATTATGAGCTGATTTTGAAGAATTTAAGAAACTTTCACAAGTTTCTGTTTCATAATAAAGTCAATAATAATGAAATTGTAGACCGAAAACTTGTATTTCTAATTATCTTTAATTTTTCTTAAATTTTTCTCAATTCTCAATTTTTTTCAATCCAAAACAATAACAAACCAACGGTTCAAAACTGAAATGATACAAGTTTCCACATAGTTTGAGATTATTTTGACCGTTTTGTTGAATTTTGTATTAAAATAGCACTGAAAAGTTGCTTGTGTTGAGCATAAAATCTATTAAAAGTTATTCTTATTAAATAAAAAGAAACCTTTCAAACTCAAAATGACCGTTAATTTTCGGAATTTTTCAAATTTATCTGGAAAGTTGGAAAAGCTATAACAAAATGATTTAAATTTTTAAGGATTGAATTTTAATTAATTTTTTAAATTGAAGATTTTTTTAAAATAGAATTTAAAAAATTTTTAAAACCTGAAAAATTATTAAAATATCAATTTTAATTTAAATTGTTTAAAAATAATTTTTTAAAAATAACAAAACTATAATAAAACATAAACTTAAATATAAAGTTATAAATAAAACTTAAATTCTCTCATTTTCGACTTCATTTTTCAAAAATCCTCTCTCAAAATGAGAGAATTTATTATAATTATATCCCAATATTATTTTGATACAAGTGTATATTAACAAAAATATATTTCAAATACATATAACAAATACAAATATAAAATGTAAAAAAGAGATTTTATTGTTTATATTTCAAATCGGAAAAAACTCAAATTTTACTTTCGTAGCTTCGGCGGAGTTTATCGGAGGTAATTTTAGTTTATCTGAATTTATTGTGAGTTTTTAAAGATTAATAAAGTGAAGATAAAGTTTGTTGTTATAAAAATAAACTTAAATTTGACATTTTGACCGCATATTTGAAGAATTTAAGGTAAGAATTGAATTATAAATAAAATAGTCTGAATAAATTTGTTGTTTCACACTTTAATGCTATGTACAGTTAGGTGATGTAAAAGTTTTGTTAAAGATTGAAGTAAAATTACCTAAAATGAATGAAAAAAAGAGTGAAAAAAGATATAATTATAAATCTTTTATATAGTTGTAGATGTTTGTTTGTATTTATAAATATAAAAATAAGAACATTGAGTTTATTGATCCAAGTTCGGAATCAATAATGTTGTTTATAAAACATGTAAATTTAAATTTTGTTGGTAATATGCAGTTTTATTGGATTCAGCTTTAAAATATTGTTCAATTTTTTTAAATACAGTTTAAGTTTTAGTTTAAAATATTTGAATTGATAATGTTTGATTTTTAATTTTTTTGAACATTTTGAAATTTTTTTAATTTTGAAAATTCTTGTAATTTTTAGATTTTTTGGAATATTTTATATTTTTAAAATTTATTTGAATATTTATATTTTGTTTTTTTTTTCCAATTTTTTGAAGTTTTTTTGTATCTTTTAAAGTTTTTGGTTTTTTTAACCCTTTAAAATTTTTTTTGAAATTTGTTGGAATTTTTGGAAATTTTAAAAAATATTAGATTTTTTCCAATTAAAACAATTTCAAAATGTAAAAATACGGTTCTTTTTACCTGCTTGAAGCAAATATCTTCTAGTTTTCAAACTATTTAAATATAAAACTATATATTAGTCAAAGTTTTATTTCTGTATGTGTACTAATAAGTATGTATATAGCAATAATGTATACATTTATAATATAATAAACAAACATTAATAGATTGTAAAGTAAACTTTAAAGTTTTGCTGCACAACAATTTTTCTGAAAAAATGAAATGGTAATTTAATGATATTTTTTGTGGTTGTCTGTAGACGAGATAACGATTTAGGTACAAAAATGAAATGCTCGAATGTTTTTCGTTGCTGTCGCATTGATTTTTTGATGATGTTTTGTTTTTTTTTTAATATGTGAATTTTTATAAATGTTTAATGAGGTTTGAAAAGGTTTTTTTGTTTGGAAATTTTTCAAAACTTTTTAAACTGAATGTTTTACATGCAAATATAGTAATACTAGAACACAGTCCATGAATCATGATAAGATTGGTCATTATCTTTAAAATTCGATAAAAATTGACATCATAACCTAAAAACTTAACAACCTAACCTCAAACTTGCGTAACCTAACTTCCAAATTGAGCAACATAACCTCAAAATTTGTCAAATCCTCAAAATTGAGCTACATAACCTGAAAAATATTCAAAAACTTTATTTCTAGTTACCTAACCTCAAAATATTTCACAAACTATCCAATGTAGCTTAAAAATTCCATTATTTTCCTCATTACAGATCCAAACCTAAACCAAGATGGAACGAAAGCCTCTACAAGTCATCAAAGAGCTTCAACGCAAGAACTCAGAACTTGAAAGAACCAAGAGCCGTCTTGAGTATCAAATCCAAGAGATGATAACTAAATCAGCTCAAAGAAGTGCTGAAATGGACCAGAAACTCACCGAACTGGAAATCAAAATTAGAGACTTGGAATATGAAAATCGTGAACTTATAAGTGACAGACGTGAAATGAAGAAAAAAATTGTTGAGAATGCAGCGACTTCAACACAAAGTGGTGATGTCATTGATCTTGATAGCAACGATGAGGACGCTATGGAAGAGGAAGATGATCATGATCATGAAGAATCAAACCTTCTTGAACCACTTCAAAGTCAACCAAATCAAGAAAATTATGGAGAACAGCGTACACTTCCATACACTTGCAACATTTGCAGCAAGTCTTACCTTTATCAAAAGCGACTCGAGACTCACATGAAGATCCATCAAAATGTCACAAAGACATCAGCAAAGCTGCTCCCAAAAAGTGAACCAAAAGTCAAAGCTGATAAGAAGAAAAATTTTGTCTGCAATGTTAAAGACTGCGGATATTCCACAACATTCTATCCAGTCATGGTTAGACACAAGAAAGCACACACATCTGAGCTCCTCAGCTGTGATTTTTACATGTGTGACTACAAGACTCCATATCGTAAGCGCTACTTTAATCACATGGCCAACAAACATGGAGCAAGCTTGCCAAATGTCGGTAATGGAAATGATGGACAGGACGAGGATGAGGATGAGGAGCAGTTTAGTGTATTTACAGATTTAAATAGTCACTTGATCTCGTCATCGATGCAGGATATGGATATGGGTGGGAATGTTAAATCTAGACTGAGTTATTAAAGGGTTTTGGTTAAGTAAAGTAATAAAGCTCTGAACAAATAAGGGCATTGAGGGATAAAGTAGAGATACTAATGACATGGAGGCATTTTAATTTTTTTGCTATATCATTTTATGGCCATGGCTCTGGTCATCCTACCTCCATGCAGGAGGGCATCTTACCCCAGTCCTAGTTTTTATTGGTCCAGTTATTTTGAAGTATTTGTTTTAAATATTTAATGACTAGTTAAACCCAGAGGTCGAAGCGAGCATAGCGAAGCGAGTTTTTAGCGATCTCGCTTCGCTAAAAATTCAGCTTGCTAAAGTTGACCTGTAGCGAGAATTTTTTTTTTCTTTTCGCCTTAGCGAACTATAGCGAACTCAATTTTATTTTTTTCGCTTTAGCGAACTATTAGCGAACTTAATTTTTCAAAGTTCGCTATAGCGAACTATTGGCGAACTAGAAAAATTTTTTTGGCTTCATATTAAGAGATGTCTGATTGCGTTTGTGAAGTATGTAATTTCATACAAAATTGCAAAAAATTATAGTTCGCCAATAGTTCGCTATAGCGAACTTTGAAAAATTAAGTTCGCTAATAGTTCGCTAAAGCGAAAAAAATAAAATTGAGTTCGCTATGGTTCGCTAAGGCGAATAGAAAAAAAATTTTCTCGCTACAGTTCGACTTTGGCAAGTTGAATTTTTAGCGAAGCGAACTTGGCGAACCAAGTTCGCTTCGACCTCTGGTTAAACCACTCAAGTTTAAATGAACCAAATATACTTTTGATTTTCTTATTCTTAACATTGAGCTCTTAGCTGAATATTTTTTTTAAATTGTGAAATGGAAAAGAAAAGTACACAAAATTAAAAATATAAACAAAAATTTTTGAATAAACTTAATAAAATTACAAAATCAATGAAGAATTTATTTTTTTTAACTATTTTTTGAGATTTTCAGATTTTTGATTAACTTAATTGGAAACTCATATAAGATATATTCACAGTGCCAACCTGGGAATAATGAGATTTAAAAAGGAAAAAAAATTAAAGATGCGATATTTACTTGTGCGACTATAGCATAAGATCCAGTGGATGTTTTTCATTCACATGGCGGTTGCACATTGCGCCAATTTATTAAATGCCAACTTAAAAATCTACAGGAAGAGCATCAAGAGAATGTGTAGCAATTTGTTGTTGAGGTTGTCTCCTTACGTTCCTTCCTCGTGAGCTCTTTTTAAGTAATTTTGTGTAATTTCAAGCACAAAGACATGTTTAAGTTCCAATCTGCAACTAATTGTAGACTTAATTTTATGACTTAATTCAATTTCCAGTTGCACTTCCGAATTACATCATTTTCTAGTCACCGGCTTGCAAAACTTGTCAAACTTGCCATTGCATTTAATTCCATATCGATTATTTTATTGATCTTGTTGTCGATTAATGCCAGTCAATTTCAATGTTGTTGCCATAAGCCGCACACTGCACAACATGTTTATATCCAAACAAAACTACAACAACAACAAAAAAAATTGCTATGCGCGTGCAAACCTGTCTGTGGTGGGTGAATTTTTTAATTCCATTCCAACTGCCTTCCAACAAAAAATTCATTTCCAACTTCAGAAATAAATTTCAACCTCATCAATCAGTCGCTCAGTGCAGTCCGTTCCGTTCAGTAATGAAATTTCAACTATTCATAATTTTAACAGTTTTTGCGTTCTCGCGAGCACATTCGCCATTTAATAAGCATTATGTGGGTCAGCAACAAACTCGAAACACAAATCTACCATGGACATTACAGAATCAGCAAGCGATGCCACAGACCTTTCCGCCTGAACGTCGAAATGGAACATTGAAAGGTGGATTTGGCACTAATGTATTTGACGTAATGTTTCAATGGAATATTATGGATTTTGAATATCCGACACCACAAGCTCGAGCTAATGCAATTGCAACAAGACAGTTTATACCGCAAAATGTCATTCCATTGGGCATTGCTGTTAATGTGGATCGAATTTTTGTGTCAACGCCGAGATGGAATGAAGGTGAGTAATGAGTTTCTAACCTCGAAAGTTGAGGTACTTTACCTCAAAATTAAAAAATCTAAACCTCAAAATTTGTGAATCTTGGAGTTAAAATCTGAAAATCTTACCTCAAAAATCTTAAAACCTAACCTCAAAACTCTAAATTAGGTATCCCAGCATCACTCTCAGCAATCGACCTCCCAGCTTTCTCCCAGTCACCAGCACTTCCACCATACCCAAACTGGCAATCACACACATCAACTACAAACCCTGACTGCAATCGTCTCCTTTCTGTCTACCGAATGGTCATAGATGAGTGTAATCGACTGTGGGTAATTGATTCAGGAATCGTTAATGCTCTCACAAATCTCCAACAGCTTTGCCCACCAAAAATCGTTGCATTTGACCTTACAACAGATCAACAAATTCTTACATATCCATTCCCACCTGAACAGGTTCTTCAAGGTTCACTTCACACGAATCTTGTTGTGGATATTCGTAATAATGAATGTAATAGAGCTTTTGTATATGTCATGGATGTATGGAGGAATGGATTGCTAGTTTTTGATATGGCACGTGGAATTTCTTGGAGAACAACAAATTATTTGTACAATCCTGATCCATTTGCTAGTGATTATAGCTATCAGGGATTGAACTTCCAATGGACTGATGGAATATTTGGAAGTACTTTGAGTCCGTTGAATAAGCCTGCTGGGGACAGAGTGCTGTTTTATCATCCGATGAGCAGTTTTAATGTGAGTGGGATGAGTTATAAGATTTGATAGCATAACCTCAAAATTGAGTATCATAACCTCAAAATTCTAAAACATAACCTCAAAAAAATTTGAATTAATAACCTCAATAATTAATTCCAGGAATTCATGGTAAGAACATCAATTCTCCGTAATCAAACTGCTTGGACTACCAACTCAGCTCCAGCAACAGCATTTCAATCAATCGGATCTCGAGGTCGTCGTGGTCAATCATCAACAGCTGACATGACTCCATCTGGTATCTATTTTGCTGCTCAAGTCCAACTCGAAGGTGTCAGCTGCTGGGATACACGAAAACCATTCAATCAAAATAATGTAGCGATGGTTCAACGTGATCCAGTCCTCCTAGGCTTCCCTAATGACCTCAAACTCGATGCCAATCGTGATAACGTGTGGGTTGTAAGCAATAATCTTCCAATTTACCTTTACGGTCAGTTGGATTTCAATCAAATAAATTTCCGTCTATTGCGTGCAAATGTAGCTCGAGCAGTTCGTGGAACAATTTGCGATCCACAAGTGCCTGCTAATCAGGAACTTGTCGACGTTTGTCCAATTAACTAATTAAAAAGAAAAGCTCTTTTTTTCTTTAATTTTTAATGAATTGTGTAATGAATGGATGCGATAATGATATTTAGTGAGTAGTTGAATTTGTTGGGTATCGATGTAATGATCGAGTGTGGATGGACATAGATTATATGGCTGGTGATTGAGGAATCTTTAAAAATAAGAACAGTGCTTGGGTTCATTGAAGATACTTAGTCTAGAAGACTAGCTTGTCAAGAGACGTTATGCATTGTCCTTAACTTACATGACATTTAGGAGAGTCTTAGAAACATAATTATAGCTCCATGTCACTAGAATTATTCTATACTTGATCACACAACATTAAACCATGTCTGCATAGCTTACCATTAGAATTAACAGACTTATCGCATCAGAATTCATTAATCATACCCACGTATACAAAAATGAACAATTTATTGTGACTTTTTTAAATTTAGACTGTAAAATCGATTAATAAAATTAGATTAATTTTACTCAGAATTGTTTTTTCAACAATAAATAAATTTAATTTGTTTTTTATTTCCGTATTTGTTGTAGAATGTTTCAGGTTCTAATTGATTGTAAATAGCAAATTCGAATGGCACAAGTCGGTTAATCGATCAGTAACCCAGCACCAAGCTAGTATGACTCTAGCTTGATGATGGATTTAATTTCAAAACAGTACGATGCTAGAGTCATGCAGGCTTGGCACCAGATTTCTCTTCAACTTGTGCTATTCGGAAAAGTAAGTGTAAATTGATTATTTGGCTCTTTTGGAGGCGGTGTTGCCATGATATTCTTAATTCATGAGTATCCTTAAGACAAACTTCCTTTAAATGATTTACTAGCAATCCTAGAAGCTACTAGATTCACTGTTTAAGTCTTCATTCTGATTACTGATGATGGTAATGATCGTAGACACTTGAGTAGGTGTAAGTCCGAATGTTCGTCACCTGAAACAAGACATATTAAGCTTAAACCTAAGAATAAACTATCAAAAATACATCTTATTAATCATCAATTCCAAACAAATCTCAATATTCAGTTTTTTTCTTTTCTTATTTTCTTAAAACCAATGAATTTCAATTAACCTGAACTTCACGGTGAGAATTAATCGATTGAATGAGTAATAAATTCATTAGCGAAGTTTAAGGTTAGATATGCTGAGAATTTTTCATCAAAGCATTACAGAAAATGAATTAAAAACAATAAATAATGTTTAATTACTCCAAGATGATGTGAATTGGTTGAACTTGATGCTTGGAATTTTTGTGACTTGCAAAGAAGCATAAATTGATAAAAGTAAGAAATTCTGATAAGAATTATTAAGATAAAGATAAGATGAGCCAAAATGACCCATAACCAATTTGAAAACATCATCTATACCCACAATCATTACATAACAATCCTCATGACATAAATTCTGCAATTAAATAATTATTTTTTAATATCTCACAAAAATTTCACTTTCATTTTTCAATTTTTGCATCATCAAGTGCATACAATGCAAGTTTTGTTAAATCCACAAAAGAAGAAATGCATTCAAAACTTTACAGACCATAAAAAGTAAGAAATTGAGAGTGAATTGCAAAGATTTTAATGATATCAATGCATTTATGGTCGCGTGCTGATATAAATAATGTCATTATCAGGTTTTTTTTTGCATTTCATGTGTTGATAACTTTTTTGCAATTGATATTGACGCATAATAAATGTCATTTAAAGTTGAGCAATCAATTATCATTTGAGATATGTTGATCGCAATTGAATTTGATGTTGGATATTGACTATATAGTGTGCAATTTGATTCAAATATAACGTGTAAAGGCACCTGAATCTAAAATCCTTAGTTTAAGGACACATGAACTTACAAAGCTATAATGGCAAGCCACTTGAACCTAAAAAACTAGAGTGAAGGCACCTGAATCTAAAATTTCTAGTGTAAAGACACTTGAACCTACAAAACTCTAGTATGAAGGCTCCCAAATAAACAAAACTCTAGTGTGAAGGCACGTTTAGATTCAGAAGTCTTGTGTGGAGGCATCCGAATCTACAAAATTCTAGTGTGAAGGCACCTTTTCCTTCAGAATTCTAGTGTGAAGGCACTTTAACCCAAAAATATATCCAGATTCTCAACTTACTTTTCCATCAGCCAAACAAATGCATCAGTAGCTTAATGACTTAATAACATATTTATCCACATTTACTCATATTTATCAACAACTCAACTCCCAACTCATCCAATTTAGCCTCATTAGCATGCAAATTTGCCTTCCCTGATTACTTGCTAATAGATCACAAGTTCCATAACAGTCTCATTTATCATCCATAAATCATCAAAGAATCTACGCACATTGGCAATTCAATAAGCAAAGAGTGAAATTATGTGCAATTTGCTTGTCTGCAGTTTCAATTCCTGCATTTCTTAAATGTCACGCGTCGTTTTCTTTAAAATTGCATATTTTTTTTTTTGTTAGTTGTGAATTACTCGAGATCTCATTTTGTGACAATTAATTGTGCTGCATGTTATTTCATATGTTTGACATAAATGAGGTTTTAACATGATAGAAATGGTTGTGTTTAATTGAGCCATTTGTTGTTGGTTAAGAGGAACATCAGTGCTTTTTGTTTGAAATTTGTTGGTTGTTGTAAGAGTTAAGTGTGCAAAAAGTATTGTTTTGTATGGTTTTGTTCCTGGTTGAGAAGGAATTAGGATAAATATCTCATTTATCTTAAATTTGTCAGTTTTAAATCTTAAAAATGTTGGGATTGTGCTGGACCCTGAGTTCGTCCGCATTGTCAACATTCATCATAAATTGAGTTTTTCATACTTGAGGCTGGTCTTAATGGGCTACCTGGTGAACATTTCTCTAGACTCAGATAATTTTTTTTCATACTCTATGTTTAGTTCCATCGAATTTTATTTTTGACCCTAACCCGAATAACACAAGGTGGTAATCGAATAGAAATTCAAAGTCAAGAAGGCATGACTCTAAAATGGTACTGGCTTTGATTTTAATCCAACACATACCAGAGTCACACTGACTTGATACCGGATTACTGATCGATTAACCGACTTGTGCCATTCGAGTAAGAAGCTCCAGGGAGCTCTAGAAAATCGGCTGGAAAAGTTATGATTCCTAATAATTCAAACACAAAATCTCAGTCAATTCTATGTATTATTATGCTGTAAAGCTATTCCAAAAACAATCCATGCCGTTTTAATATACTTCATACTTCGCATGCATGCGAATTCAAGTCAATAAATACCACAACTCCTTTAGCTTATGCAATATTCCATAATTATTTATTATCATTATTTTAATCTTAAAATTCAATATTTTTATACATTTTGCTTAATTCTCACTTAAAGTTTATGGCACCTTTGCCTTTATGCCACCTTAATTCGTTCTATTTAGCTCTAGTTTACAGCAATATTTTTATTTCACAATTATTTTAAGTACAGTAATTTATCAATAATTTGGCAAGCATTTTTTTATATCAACTATTTATGAAAGTTATTGTAATTTTCACAATTTATTGAAATATTCTAAGATTATTTTGACTCAGAAATTCTGCAATTTTAATCATTTTTTCTTTCTGAACGACATCTAGTCACTCTACTCAACACTTTTAAATGTACAAAATCTATCTTTTAATATTCAAATCTAGACAAGACGTCCATAAACTAAGTTTATACACCTCCATACTGATATTGTGGATTCATTGTCGAGGCTGATGAAAATGTTGCGTAAATTCCCCTCGGAAAGTTCTCGTCACTAAGCTGCATATAGTCACTAAAATTAAAATAAATTAAAATTTTGGATAAGAATAGTTTAAAAATGTTTGATTTAGCATTCATTAAAAGTAAGGATAAGGAACTGATCAAACTGAATTTTGCTCATTTTTAATAATTTTGATCAGTTTTAAAGGTCATATTGAGTCACAAGTGACCCCAAAACCAAGAAATTGGCAAACAAAATCTCAAAAGTTATTTAAATTAGTTCAAATAATTCAAAATGTAATGTCAATGCCACCAAAATACACAAATAGGCAAAGCCTCATAAACACATTGCATTATCGGGATCATCCGGTTTTTGGCTAAAATTTCCAGGCACTTGAAAAATATAAAAAAATGTGTAGCACTTAAGGGATAAGACAGGCTTACACAAAAAAATTATTACATCAAATTAGACTAAAAAAGTTGTGCATTGACATGCTGCATACAATAAATATCCCAAAACAAAGACGACTGCAAAACATGTGAGTGACAAAAGGCAGGCAGCAAAAGGAGCACCAAACAATGGATTATTGTGAATGGAAGGCAGAAAAAGAAGAAGGATGACAGAACAAAAGGCTCATCTTTCCATGTAATTTCTTATGGATTATCGCCCAACAATTATTCAGGATGAACGAGAATTGCATAAAAATTTGATACTTTTTTTGAGCTTGATGGGAGATTTATTGGGATATTTAAATGTCAAATGGCTTTGTTGGTGACAAATTTATTGAATAAAGATCCTTTCTTGGGATATGTTTGGGTTTGGGATGAATTTTAGAGAATTTTGAGATTTTTTCTAGCGAATTTTGAAGTTTAGATTAAGTCAAGCTTTGCATGAATACATTCAGCTCGACTGTCGCTTAGCTTTACTGACGCCAAACTTGATTGACGCTCAGCTTGACTTAACTTGAATGACGCTTAGATTGAATAAAGCTCAGTTTGACTGAAGCTCAGCTTGAATGAAGCTCAGCTTGACTAAAGCTCAGCTTGGCTAAAGCTCAGCTTGACTAAAGCTCAGCTTGGCTAAAGCTCAGCTTGACTGACGCTTAGCTTGGCTAAAGCTCAGCTTGACTGACGTTTAGCTTAAATGATGCTTAGCTTGATTGACGCTTAGCTTGACTGACGCTTAGCTCAAATGATGCTTAGCTTGACTGACGCTTAGCTTGACTGAATATAACTCAGCATGAGTGAAGCCCAGCTTGACTGGAATTAAGCTTGACTGAAGCCTACTTTATGTGAAGCAAAGCATAAGTAAAGTTCAGCTTCAAAGTAATTATCGTAATTTACTCGCATCGAAAAATTCAAATTTACAAAAAAAAAAAATCAATCCTCACCTTCTAGCTTGCGGTGTTCTATCTCTCTGTCGTCTATTTTTGAACCAATTACTGACTTGAGTCAACGTTAATCCAGTCTTCTTTGCCAAAATTTTCTTCTCATCTGGTGTTGGATATCGGTTCCTCTCATAGCAATCTTTCAACGCATTTCGACTCTTTTCTTTGAAACAATAGATTGTCTCCTCACCATCCCAGATTGTTTTTGGCAGTGGATATTTTTTTCTGAGTCTATATTTGTCAACAGCTCCAAGTGCTCGTCCTCGGACTTTTTCAGCTTCTCTGTAGTGAGCTTTAAACCAAAGTAATTGAAGTTCTGAATGAAATTTGACTGAAAAACAGTGACTTTCAAGGATTCCATAAAGTTCATGGAAGGAACCGCGATGATAAGCAACAATAGCTCTAGCACGAAGGATACTTTCACTGTTGCTGAGTAGTTCGTCTGCTGGCAAGCTGAATAAAAATGTTGTCAATTTTTCAATGTCATTTTTCTGCTGTAAAGCTTCACACATGCACTGAACCTGCTCGGATGTGAATGAAAAATATTTTTTGTTAATTTCGAGGCTGATTTCCATCGATGCTGGCATATAATTTTCATTATTCTCATGATGTGACTTGTAGGACTGTCCATAACCTTCATTCTTCATTTTTGACATATTGTTGTTGTTGTTTGTATGATTATTGTTGTTATTAAGCTGAATATTTAATTTATTTATTTTTAATGGATAATTCTCAGCAACATCTGATGTGTCAGGCATTGAGAACATGTTAAGATTTTGAAGAGTTGTTGGATTTGAGACTTGTTGCAGGTTCATATAATTTTGCATGACTGACTTTGTTGACTCTGTCATTTGTGAGTCGAGTGAATGGAGGTTCATTGGTGAAATTGCAAGTGCAGATGCTGAGATAAGGGATGATGAAACTGATGAGTCCATGGCTAAGGTGTTGAATTATAGTTTTTAAGTTGAAGGTTTAAGTTTAAATCCAGAATTCAACTTAGTGTTTAGTTTAATTATTTTATTAAAGTTTTCACAATTAAAAAAATTTTAATTTTTGCAATTTTTAATAAAATTTCTATTTTTTGAGTTTTTAATTGTTTTAATTTTTTTTTTAATTTTAAAACTTGTAAATTTAATTTTTTATATTTTCAATTTTTGAAACTTTTTAACACTTTTTAATAGTTTTTTATTTTCACTTTTTTTTAATGTTTTTGTTCTTTTTTCAACTTTTTAAACTATTTTATTTTTCTAGCTTTTTTAAGCTCTTTTTATGTTTTGCAAATTTTTATATTTTTACAGATTTTTAGTTCGATTCATAGTTTTTTAAATTTTTCACTTTTTTACTTAACCTTCTAGCATTTTATCTTAAATTTTATTCACTTTTGATAATTTTAAATTTTTAAAACTTAAATTTTTAAATTTTATTTTAAAAAAACTTTTATTTGCGAAGATGATTAATTTTTTCAGTTTTTTATTCATGAAGTTTTTGCAAATTCTGAACCTTTTCAGAACAAAAATTCAATAATTTTTATCCAATAATCCAGCAGAAATCAACTTCAATTTCACATAAATTGAAAAACTTTCCAACTTAATCCAACGATTTTTCCAAACTTTCACATCCGATTTCCTCAAAGATTCACAACCGTTTGACTCTCATCGCCTTGCTCATCTAATTAAACAAAATATTTTCATTCTTGACGCACACCATTGAGCAATAAACAGCACATCCTCAGATTGTGTACAAATCTGGTCATGTATTTGTGTATTATTTATGTTTTTATTATGCTGTGCAGTGATTTTGCTCAAGCGAGGATCAAATTTCAAGAATATTTTGTTCATGCTTCATACTTTTTTTGGCTTGTTGTTGTGTTGGTGAGTATGAAGAATAATTTTTGATGGGAGAGAGAAGAACTGAGCATTTAATTATGGTCTGATGGAGGAAGATTCAAAGAAAATTCAGGTTAAGGTTTTGTCGTTTGGGAATCCAAAGGTTGAGACTTAAAGAACTTTCATACACTTAATTCAAGCTTCTTTTAGGTTGCATCTGTGGATTGTTCTTGAAACAGTCTTAAGTTGGGTATTCTAGGTTTGCCGATCGGTTGTGTGTCTCAGTATTACTTTGAAGTACACTCTTGGGGTGCTCCAAAGTTTAAATTAGCTCATAAGAAACAGTTTTTCCTTAAATTGACTGAACATTGCAATGAATCATAGCCAAAAAATGCTTTTTAACATTAAACAATGCTCATTTATTGTAATTTGAGGTTCGTGACATAAGTCGATATTTATTTGTTCATTTATTGAGTTTTATTATTTTTGAAACACATTTAACACCAGTTGTGAGGAGTTATTTAGTAATTATGTCAATTGTTTTGGTATAAGGGGTCTCTATTGGCATTGGTTCCTTAAGGTTTCTTTAGAACTCTTGTCTTGAGAGCTGTTCTAGTCATTTGACTGTATTTATAAGCCTTTATCAAAAGGAACAACTAAAACCTTCTTGATTATGCCAAAAACCATGATTAACATCATTTTTAAACGACCCCAAAAATTTATTAAATACCTTACAACTTCAAAAGAACAAATTTAAAAAGTGCTGAAATATTTTTGTTTTGAAATTCAATCAAGCAGATCAAAAAAATTACTTTTGGGGATCATTAGCTTATAATTGGATGTACTGAGACGTTCAAGTTCTTCAACAATTTTCCGAGCATCCGGCCATTCCATCACCGCGTGATTCTCAACTTTCTTTAAGAACACAAACAACAAAAGCTGCTAATAAATGCAAAATAGTCAAAACAAGCCGAAGAAATTCTCGATTCTGCAGAAGTCAGCATATTATTACAAAAATATCAAATTATAGAAATACAAAGACTAACAAAGTAACGAGTGAGCATAGCTATGTTTACTAGATGCATGAATGAATTGTAGTTCTTATAATAATGATGGATATGACGATGAAAATATTTTTTGAAAAATGATTCGGAATGGTTAGAATTTCTGAAATTAGAAGATGTTATGTGGTTGGAAAGTGGCAATGAACTTTGAATGGAATATTCAATTTATTACATCGGCTTACCTGTTTGAAGTTGAACGAGTATGGAATTGAGGAGATTATGTGAGCATCCTACATCTAACACTTGTAAGCTATGACTTGCTAGGTTGTTTACAACTAAAATTGAGTGTTTGACTTCTTGTGAGCTGGATGGTTTTGGATTTGTTTTTAATTTGAATCCCTGAGCCATCATTGACACCCTTGGATCCAGGCGAGTAGTCTTGAGAAATTTCTTCATTTTTCTAGAGTTTTTATGAACAACTCAAAAACACCCACCCCCCTAAAAGTTTTTTCATACAAAAAAAATTGCCCCCCCCCCCCACTCTTCAAATTCCTGGCTACGCCCCTGCTTGGATCCATCCTTGGGTTCTTTTGAACCCATTTGACTCTCTTTTACTTTCTTTGACCCCATTAAGATCTATCAAGACCCACTTAAACTCCTACAGACAACCTTAGACACGTTCAGATGCTTTAGACCCGTGGTGGACATCCTTTTCTGTGCCATAATGATGAGCCACGACGACACCGCATACGGCTAACGGTTCATGAGATATCTGAATTTTTTTGTGGCACACTAGGTGCCATAGCACGTGGGTTTGCCATCATTGCTTTAAACTACCATTAAAATTCCATTTCATTCTTATCTTCTCACTTCAAACTTTCATTTCAATTTAAAATTCATTTTAAATCCCCTGACTCATATTTCAATGCACTCATTGTTGTTCAGCATAATTTTGATGAAATTCTTCTTCTTTTCTCCTTTTATTCATTTCAATCTTCACAGCAACAACAACGACTAGTAACAGAATTAAACATTTTTACGTGTCATATTTGTCATTTGACACCTTACTGAATTACAATGTTTATATGCTTATATGTCTCTAATTTGGTGTAGATTGGGATAGTAAAATAGGAATTCTGAATGTTTTTTGGGTGTTTTTGAAACGAATTTGAATTTTTTGAATTGAAAATTAAAGACTTTGTGACTAATTTGGTTAAAATCGTGGATTGATGCTCAGTATTTTGAGCAGTCCTGTCCCAAACATCCATACTTTGTTGCCATTAACTGTCGATAACTTTATCTTTTTTAAGTCCTTAATCATCACAAACATGATCATTAATCCAACTCATAAAACCCCATCTTTCACAACTTAACGACAGTCAAGAGACTCGAAAATTAAGGATCAAATTACAGAATTATTATTACTTTTATGTACTGTACATTCCAATCTTGCTTCTTTCCGCTCTTTCCAATGAAATTTTTCTTCTTTTTTTGTTCATTTTAAATTGCAATTTGACACTCTGCGCCATTGTTAGTTTGCCTCGCTGCTCGTTATTCTTTTAAAGTAGATATTGTGTGATGTTAAGCATGATGCATATGAAGATTTTGGAATTTTAGAGGGATTTTTGAAGTTGTAGACATAACAAAGTGATTAAAAATTTGAACTAATTCTAAGCAGCTCCAGACAGTTGGCTATTAAACCATGAAAACAACATAAATCTTCATCCATAATCTCAAAAATCACGATAAAAGCTATAGTTTTTAAAGAAGCTCTTCAATTTCAATCAAAAGAGACATCAAGCAGTTCTGATTGGCTGAAAATGTTGCGATGGTACATCAATGTGACTGTGACTGTGTTTGTGAGAACAACTGCGCATGTCTTGGTGAATTGAATGATATAAACCATTAAAGGATGAATTTGTTTGATTTTATGAAAAATTTTAACTTGTAGTAACTTTAAATGGGACTTGGAGGGGTCTAAGAGTTCGAGAACCCCCTTCTTTCATTTGAATCATAAAATTCACATATTCTGGGTCAGATAAGCCTTAAAAATTGTTAATGGTGCAGTCTGAAATTTTGCGAGGAGAGATGGAGAAGAGGGTGGATGAGAGGGTTGATTTTTTCTCCAAAAAACCTACTAAACCAAAAAAAATTTCAAAAAATAGAGGGTTTTGACCCTTAAACCTTGTCACCCTAGCTAAGTCAATAATTTTAAAAAAAATTCACAATCACATTATTAGCAATCTCATGTTTATTTACAAAATGACACACAATCCCTTTCACTTAAAAGTATTGCAAATCCAATCTTGATAAGCACTTTAATCTTATTGTTGTCCTCTTCACCTTCTCTTCCTTGTTTCTCTTCCATTTTTATGAAAATATTGAATGCATTTGGGAACTTTGAATGCTCAATTGATCTAAATACTTGAGAAATAAGTGCAAAATGAGATAATAAACTAGATTTGTGTATAAGTCTTTTGATTCTTGGGGACTGATTTCATTTAGGGCAATTGAAAAAAAAATATTGAAGTTTTTGATTTTTTGGATGAGATTTCATGGAATTTTTTTCAATTTCTGTTCCTTAAGTTTGAACTTGCAGGGAATGAGATTTTTAAAATAAGATAAAACTAAACATATGTGTTGACTATTATGAACTTTTACGGGTCTGTCTGAACAATCAATATTTTACTAGGGGCGACCTTAGTCCTAGCTTGCTTTGAGTCTAGGCCTTAGAAATCTTTCTCATAGAATTAACAAAATTTCCCAGACTCGGAATCTAGGCGGTATACAGCAAAAAAACCCCAACTTCCATACAAATACCCCCAAATACCGACTCTTTAAATGAAACAACTCTTTTAAAATACCGTCTAGTTTCCGAGCCAAAAGAATCTCAAAGGCAAAGCTCCTGAAATGAGAGAGATAATGATTAAATCCATTCCCCTTATCTAGACCAATTGACTGACAAAATGTAATTTATTGAACAATTTGTCATCAAAATTAGCTATGCTCTCTTCATAGCTTTAATATAACTCTCCCTAAATTTGTCATTTTAATGTTAATGCCCAACTTAATCACCTTGAATAAAAATTTTAAACATCCCGTTATAACCCATTATCATTGTCACAGCACGAACAGCAAAACCTTCAAAAAATCACCTTCACATCAAAGACTTCACACCTATTAATTCAACTCTCATCCAAAAATTCATCCCCTGCATCACAAAACAA